TCAGTTTCTGTTGTCCCGTTTATTATATGGTCATTATCGCAAAGTGGAAAATCGACACACATGGACAGCATAACAAATAGTTATTATTTCAATATTGATTTTGAATTTCTTACTCTAAACGATATAGTGTCATCAATTATTGCAAGAACAATACACATCAATGACACATATGAGGAACATTGTAAACGGAACCGTTGTCACTCTTTTTATACAATTTTCAAGTCCCAGCTAGTTTGGGATTAAAGATTTAATTTAGCAAATTGTTCTAGCGACTGTGAGTATTCACGAGCTTCCAACAGCCAAGCCTTTATATTCCAATCAGGAAAGCTTAATAGCTTATTCTGTTCATTCCTGTTTCCCCTGTCAGTAAGTGAATTAGGCGGCCCATCAAGAGATGTGCTGCAAAATATTGTGGAACTGTATGAAAAGATCGACTGATTGGATCTGGAATATTGGACAGAACTTGAAGGCGAAGGTGCAGCAATGTGGCAGTGCTTCCATTTTGTATCTGCTGATCTAAGTAGTTTTACTCTCATGCACTAAATATGATACTACAGTAGTAACATACATTTATTGTTTCAGAAAATAATTCCATGAATAGTATATATCTACAATAATGTATGTATTAACACATAAGCCAAAATAGATAGTACCGTGGGTACTGGGCTCGCTCACAAGGTGTCGTGATTCAGTTTGATTTATAGCCATCTTCAAAACCTCATTGATGTTACATGTACATATTAGAACATACCTGTACATTTCTAGGCAGAATAGAGCAACAATAGCCTAACTTTTTTTCTGCAGTGTTGGCCATTTTGAATTTTTGCAAGAATTTATGTCAAGACTTAAAACCTCATTGGTAAATACCAATAATTTATAATGTAAATCAAAGCAATGACTCCGAGTTAAAGGTCAAAAAATGAATTTGACACAACAAAATGGTCGCCATTTTGAATTTTATTTTCCTAAGAACTTTTGTTGAGGCTTTTTAAGATTTTAATGCAACTCCAAACAATAATTCCTAAGTTATGGCTCTAAAAGTGATTTTTCTGCGACAAAAGTGGCAGCTATTTTGCATATTTGTTTCAATTTTGTCGAGACATCGTTGATATTACATGTGAGAACATACCTGTAAACTTAAATGTAAATCGAAGGAACAATTCCTGGGTTATAGCTCAAAAGTGGCGAGAAGTGGCGGCCATTTTGAATTTTTGCTGCGAGACATTTAACACCTCGTTGGTAATACAATGATATGAGGGCATACCTGTACATTTGAATGCAAATCGAAGCAACATCCTGAATAAATGCTCAAAAGTGGATTTTATGCGATAAAAAATGGCGGCCATTTTGAAAATAGGCGAGCTTTTGAAACAGGAAACAGTTTTTTTCATCTATTGATAATGAACAAAAATAACTTAAATTGGGAATCCCATCGGCAGACGTTTGAAAACGTGACACGATTGTTGACAGACAGGTGACTGATTGCAATAGCTCACCGTGTTAGCTAAAATATTAAAACACTTTCAATTCGTAAAATTTGTAAATTGCTTATGAAATTGCAATTTTATATGGTGATGCACAGGCTAATTGCATGATCGATTTTCGAAATATTGATAAATTCTGAAGTCAACGAAACATATTTTTAGAAAATCAAAAATAGCGAAGAAAATTGGATTAATTCATCCTCTTATAAACAGTTTATTAATGCTTTAATCCAAAAAGATCTGTGTCAGAACATATTAATTATTTAAATTAAAATCTCCATTGCTCCTTCAGAATTACTGCTTACGTAATATTTTGAACTTCCCTCGGAACCCTCAATACGTCAACAATGCGACACAACTACTATTTATTGCACCACAAGCTTATATAGGCTGTTAATATTCATACGTAATGGGGGTAAGAGCGTTGTTTCTGATGTTTCATTTTATTACCTTTTTAATACTCCGATTGGTATTTGCCATATTGTTAGAAACATTGTAGATCGCTTGAAACGAACATGGCTAAGCAGAAAAACCTGATGAGAATCAATGGTACACATCTATATTGATACATATTCCCCTGGAAATTTATGAATCAAATATTCTGCATAAATCAGCTACGCGTAAGAAAATAATTCCCCCACGTTCTATTTTAGAGGAATTGATAAAGAGACATAGAGGTGGCATCTGAATCTATTAACATAGCCCTGAATCAAAATTTGCCTTCATAATTAATTTCATATCAAATGGAAAATTTGGCTGAAGAAATATCAAAGAGCTTTTTATTGGCGTGTTTATCATGCTAAAATGACACATTTGGGAGTCAGTAAAACTTCATCAGATAATAAAGTATCTATAATGATTTATCCTCCGAAAATAGCAAGAATAACAATAAATGGGAGAAGTTAGCAGCATAACAGAATTAATATCAAATGGTGTATTTCCAAATCTAAAAACAACAATTTAGTTTAATAATGAAGACATAAAATGCGATCCTATTTGCTGAATTCCCAATCAAGCGCTTCTATTGCACCATTACCACATTTAGTCTCATCAAAGACTATAACCCCCTAGATGTTATTCAGACCACGTGACTCATTCAATATATACTACCTACGTCATTAGGATGGCTGATAATAAATCGCCCAATGCTCATGAATATTAAATGAAGTAAGTAGATGGATGAATTGTACGGTAAAATGATCACTTCAAGATTCGGATAACACTAGGCAGGACAGGGCAAAATAAGGTAGGATATTCAACCACTAGTTATTACTTTCACTGGTCTTAAAATTACATTCTTAAGATTTTTATTATTAAATGGTGCAGGTGAGGCCTTCGATAATATAATAAATTAATGAAAATAATAAAGTGAAGATAAACCACTCTTAGAATTACAACTCGGTGATAAAAATACTTCTTAGTTTGAAAACAGATCAGATCGGAAATGAAGCCAATGGTCCATTAATGAAAAATCTCAAATGAAAAAAGGGATAAATACTTAAGTAATTGCTGTTAACTTATTTGTCCTTGTTAATTAATCTGAATAGCAGAATATCGTGTAAGTTGTTATGTTGTTAAGTTTCTCGGGAGAAATCATTAGTCCATTCGATCAATGATGAGATTATGACAGCTACTTAATGGCTTCCATTACATATTGTTGTCTATTCGGGTTCATTGTGTCATTGAGAAACTTCTGCGGTACTCATTTGCTTTCTAAATTGTCCCGTCATCTAGTTTCAGGAAATAAATCATATTATACCATACATGGATTTACCTTAATAGCTGCAGGCGTAGAATCCCACTGGACGAATTTCGAATTGACTTATAAAAAGCCGCCCGTCCGTCCGTTCATCTGTCAGGACGGTACCTATCACACTGGTTGTCAGAACTGGTTCAATTTTTATAGGCCGATGCCCAAAGTGATTGAATCCCTGCTCCAGAAATTGAAAGAAAACCCATCAAAGAAATTGATAGAAAACTCATCAGAAACTCACTTAAAAATTTATCGTAGAAATGTTATTGTTGGCTGCAACTTGAATGTCCTTTTACTCTTTTAGGTCAAATTAATTATTATAATGCTTTCATGAAAGGTTCACAAACAATACGATTCCAATTCGAGAGGGAGTGTACGAAATTCAAAATGGGTACGATTTTCGCCATAATGTTATCATATAGTATATATGTAGGAAATCTACCTGAAAGTTATTTTTCAGAATTGGGCGTAATACGAGGAAATCAATTTCCTCGCAGTGAAAAAGCTATTTGAAAGAGCAACAGAATTATCTTGAACCACTTTTTATAATTAGTTTGCGTTCATATAAGCTATTGAGTATAATTGTATAATTAAAGTTGCTAATGTGAACGCAGTCAAAATTTCATTCCTGGTATCTATTAATTAATTAATGCTGATTAATTAAGTAAACACTGTCCATAAATAAAAGATGCTGTTTTCATACATCAGATATTACCCAAATAATGGATCTTGTAAATGTTAGACACATCAGTTTGATATTCAATGATACTCCATTGGTTTTAGCCAAGGGAGGTGTGTTCGTGATGTCATCACTTTTTGTGCATTTTTTAGCTTTCTTGCTTCACCTTGGTTTCTAGGTTTTTTCCCTTTAAACCGGGAAATTCCTCCTATGTTTCAATCTAATATAACGAGGTTTTCAACATAAAAGAAAGTCCCCAGGGGTGTTGACATTTATTCAATTACATGGCAGTCTTGCATAAATGTCATTAAAGTAATTATTTTCAGCGACATAGAAATAATATAACACATAATAAGATAAGGCACCATGTTCATAACCGCAGGGTGAACTTATTCCTGGAAAAACAAACTATGTGTTAACGTGATAAAAGCAAGACTTTATAAGGAATATAACTTACAGTGTATGAGAGGAGGGGTAAAGTAATACACATATTAACAATGAAAGGACTGAATCGGTTGCATTGATTGAAATTATATATTGAATCGACGAACGGTAAACACTGTCCCTCTGCGGATGAATCTCTTCATTGACATGCTCTGTTTATAAATAATTTAACCCATAGTTCTTTTGACTTATTTGTGAATATAAATTGGATAATCCATTAATATTCTTAATTAGCAGTTTACTTCGGCATTGTGAACTCCGAGATGTAATTCATCATCTCGACAACAGATTGGAAATGACGAAACAATGTGCAAAGTTTATCACCCACGCATTCAATTAATATCTTATGATTTTTGGCTGGCTTTATAGGCAAAGTGTTTATGTGTTGTTTAAATGTTGCCACTTGCGCTCTCTGACTTATTTGTGAATATAAATTAGTTAATCAATTTATTATTCTTAATTTGCAGTTTACATCGGCACTGTGAACCCCAAAACAGATTGGAGATTGGAAATGGCGAAACAATACAAACATTTACCACCAACACGTTCAATCAATATGATTTTTGATTGTTATTTTTAAATGTTACCCCTTGTGCTTTGTGATAATGCAATGTAAGGTGTATGACTCGTATGATTTCAGAAAACATGGCCAAAGGATGGGAATACATGCTGGTTCTATTGGCAATGATATGTGCGTCCTGCTTAGCCGAAGATCTAGCCTCCTTACTTAGACAACGACTCGAGAGCAGAATAATGGAAAAAAGAAAACCTGATGGTAAATAGCATAATTGGATTTTCTTACAACGTTAAATTCTACGTCTATATTTCTGTTATACTTAATATTTTGCTGGTTTAATGGGAATTTGTACGTTGCACAATCTTTGAAAATTTCAGTAATAACAAAACATTTTGAAATATATGGAACTTTTTGATCGTCCCTCGTATAATGAGTTAATTATTTCAAGATGGTGGCATATGATCCCAAAAAATTCCTCAGAAAATATAATTTTGTACCACTCGACTATTTTGATATTTTGAGAAAGATTCGTAATTCACCAAATTGACCTTTCATTAAGAAATCCGTATAAAATAATTCTTTATTTATAATTCTACTTTTTTCATGCATTTCAATACTATTAATGCAACATTAAGTACCAGCTGGTTCTTCAAAAACTCATCTTCTGGCCCACTCTTGTTCCAGTAGGAACGGAAGTTATCAAATATTTGAACCCGTTCCCGTATTGTTTCAAAGAAATTCCCCCCAACTTGACCCATAATATCTTATTGCAAATCTTGGAATTGAAACACTGATTCACATTGCAACAGACAAGATGCGAGTATATATAATGATTTGCGTCATTGATATTCAAAATTCAGTGATGTCGTATTTGAAATCTACAAGTACAGTACATCTAGAAATATGGTTTCGAAAGTTGTTTATCAACTTTGAATTTTTGGGGGGATAATGTGTCTTCTAGTTCGGGGAGATTCCCCATAGAGCCCATGTTATAAAATCACAAAAGGTTAAATATCTTTTCTTGTAGTACAGTGTCACCCTGTCGTGCACATATCCCTTGTGTGGCTATTTCAAACCACCACATCATTATAGAAGACTATAGATGTCAACGGCAACACTTGGATAAGAGGATAACACCTCTAATAGTGTAGTTGAAGCAAGTTAAACTCAGAAATCATGAATTGTACGAAGTGAGAGAAGACATTCACCTCTCAAAAACACCTTTTAGAGTAGAGTAGCCGAAGTATTTCAAGGGGATAGAATTGTAATTGAATAAAGTAGTTCATCTTCTTGTCGCATGTGGTTCGGCAGTGACAACAAATAAGTGGAATCGAATGAGACGAATGCGAGTCGAGAGTTGAAGGGAAGACACTTTCCAACAATATGTTTTAGTTTTAACTATATCTATAATACATGTAAAATAACTATAGCATTTGGAGCAGAAAACTGATAAAACAGCACAAAATGAAAACCAATTCCTAGTCAACCTTCATTTTCAGGAGGAAATCCATGTCCAGAACCAGAGAAACCGTTCCCCTGTAGGGGGCAAGGCACCCATTGCATACCTATGGAGTATCTGTGTGACAACAGCTACGACTGCGAGGATGGCTATGACGAGGATAGGGAAGTCTGCACAGCGGGTGAGATAGCAACAAATAAAACAAATTTTGCAAATTGTTCACATGTCAATAACATATTTGAGATTGTTTGGTAAATACATGAATACAATACCGTAAAGAGCCTTTATTTAACATGAACTTGCAGTCCTTATCTCACGACGAGTTTTTCATTATATTCTCATGGTGATGAAGTTTACTCCTCGAATTAACAGGACAAATGTTAGCACTCGTTTCATGGCGTACAGTAGTTGTGTTACCCATTGTTCCTGAAACGATTATTTATGGCAAAAAGTCATTTTCATCCATAATTAAATTCATACGATGACTATAATTCAAGTATATGTCTTAAGCCCGTTGTCAACTTGGTTTTCAGCGAGGAGACCAGCAATTGAGGATATTGAGAGCTTCTTAGATGCAGAAGCTTCATGGATTCTCCCAAAGATGTTCGGCGTTAGCCCTAGAAAACTACATAAAGTCGCACACAGTTTGGCAGGTAGGAAACATTTTCAAATATAGTCGAAACGTTTATATATAACTGGTAAGTATCAGGAGAAGATACCTCCCGTTTGTTTCCTTCTTTCAATATGGAGGAAGGTAAAATGTTGATTTCGATATTTTTAGGTTTCACGAAATATAACTCGTTTGCCGTGGACATTCTGCTTTAAAATTCCAACCATATCGACTTGTATATGACATATGAACTTTGGAATAGCTTCTCTAGCATGTGTGGACACCACGATCAGACAATATTGTACCTCCTAGGGTACGCTAACGTGAATGGTGAATTGGTAAATTAATAATTCACGTTACAGTGTCCTAGAAAAGGTAGAATATATCATTGGATTGTGCGTCCACACGCAATATAGAAGCAAATTATCAGATGTGGAGTTTCTCAGTCAAAAAAGCATGGTATGGTCGAATTGTCAAAGTCAAATGGCACCGACAAAGTGATTTCATTTGATGAAAACTAAAAATATCATAATTGCGCTGACCCTCTGATTCACCCCAGTGATATGTAACATGATGTAAGGAAATGTTCGCTCCATGTTGGAATTGATATTTATTGTTTAATTGCAAGTATATCATTGACATTGATTTGGGTCATTGGAGTTTTTTCCATAGACTAGTAGACTGGATGACGGGCTAGAACCGTAGCGATCATGAACTGGCACTCGCGACGGCCAAATGAACTATGAGCCTTATTTCGCACAGCCAAATTCGATGAAAAATACGCGTTTCGGATTTTCGTTTTATGTTGCAGAACGAATAACAGCGGTTGTTAAAAATAACAGCTTTATAATACACATGGTGGAAAAAGTTGGTATGTGTCCCCACTATGTTTCTCGGCGTGTTTTTTGTGTTCTTTTGGGCATTCAGGGCTGACAATGTCTGTCCAAATGCGAAGGTTAAGTTTGAAATTACATGGTCCGATTATAAACAGAAATTCATGTACACAGAACAGGGAAGATATTGTCAGATGCCGCAGAGAAATGAAGAAATATCCGTTTGTACATTTATTCATCGTGTTGCCGAGAAATTGTAATATGTCTTATGAGCGACTATCATTCAATTTTACGTGTAACTTGACCGTCTTCAGCCAACTTCTGAGTGTATCCACTTATGTCCAGCATTTACAGAATTATACCGTTTTCAGTGGCAAGTGAGCCTACGCTATTCCTCAGAGGTTGATCGAAAATGATTTATTTCCAGTTCTTCAAAATATCAATTTGGTAAATTAGGTAAAAATGACAATATTAGCTTCTCAACGATGTGCTAAATGTATTGCCCATTGTGTTACCTATTTTACTGATAACAAAAGAAACAGACACAAAATCGTCAGTCTGCGAGAATTCTTCATCATCTTTTCAAAGTATTATTATACGTTATTGTTTATTTGTCGGTACAAAAGGTCAAATGAATGATATCAAGATAAGCAGTAGCTTTCCGATGGTATGTTTAATGTGTGATTATCCATTTTGAATTACAAAGAATAAACGCACGTTATATATTATTATAACTCATTCAGCGATAATACTTCCTGAAATGGTACCCCGAAAGGAGATTATCTCCATTCGCGAGGTTAGTGAAGATCCGCACACGCGTCTCTCGAACAACCTCAAGCAACTACGTACATGGACGCAGACATTTAAAAACTTAATATATGATCTATAAATATACGTATACTGTTAATAAATTCACAAACTCCCTTCCATTTTGTCAAGTATTTAATATTATATTTTTCAGTGAGCGAGAATGTGTCTGAATTCAAACGTCGCCTCGCGATGTCTAGCAAGCAAGCCACGATATTGAAGAAGGCTTTGAAAGCAATTGGCGATGGCGACAAAAAGGCGGTCCAACAACTCGTCAGCATGCCACTTGGATCCTGGAATGAAGTACAATACATCTTCGGGAAAATAATCAAAAGTGGTTTCGAATAGACAGCATAGAGAACTAGTCCTGATCTACATCATGTTGCCTAAAATTAAATCAATTAATAGTGATCTTGCAATTAATAGTGATCTTGCAATTAATAGTGATCTTTGCAATTAATAGTGATCTTGCAATTAATAGTGATCTTGGATAACCACTACATCAATAAGGAAATCATATATAATATTATTTTCAGTGATCATTAGGAGGAAGACTGAGGTTATTCACATTCCGTCGGAAATGCTCTGAACGAAATCAACTTTTAAGCCTCCTGAACTTAGGTTATATTATATCCTTATCAAAAGAGGCATGGAGTACAATATTTTAGATAATTTTTGTTAAATTAATAAATCATCAATTCGTGCTATGTAAAATTTGCTTTCTGTATACAGTGTATGTATGAACATCTATCTGTATCATTTGCCCCCACCAATACCTTTATAGCAATCAAGAGGCTTAAAATGTGACAGTGTATGTGTAAATTCATTCCAAAATACTTATAAATATTTTTGTACAGTAAAGTCTGGAGTTTTTGTCTGTTAATAAGAATACATTGATAAGAAGTAAAGTAGAAAATGTTGAATTTGATTAATTTGTTCAAACAAAGGTGTTTTGTTTTTAGCAAATAATCAGCCATATCAACCCTAAAATATAGATGACACTTATTTTAGCCATCAGTAAGATTGAACGCAAGCTCTGATAAAATAAATGAAACTTTATCTAGCCATCCATGCCAAGATTGAACGCAAGCAATGATAAAATATATGAAACCTAATTTAGCGATCATTAAGATTGAACACAAGCTATGGCAAACTATATGACACCTAGTTTAGCCGTCGGCAAGATTAAACGCAAGCTATAATAATATATGTGATACCTAATTTAGCCATCAATAAGATTGAACGCAAGCTATGATAAAATAGATGACACCTAATTTAGCCGTCGGCAAGATTAAGATTAAAGAGAGAATCAGATATAGCGAGCAGGCTAAACAAAAAATTGTTTCAATTTTAGAATATTTCTTGCTCATGTCATTCCTTGTCCTGTCTATTTTCAAAAAATCACAAAAGTGCATACTTTATTCCAGGAAAATTTTTACAATTATGTATTCCTTTTCTATAAGAATGGTTGCCATTCTTATTATTTGGGAGAATTTAAACATTTTCACTCATTTTTGCACTTTGAATCATTAATAACTTTACCAATTTATAACGTATTGCGAATCTTTCGGGAGATATTGTATTCGATATTGTAAGGAATAGATTGGTAGGTCAATTATACATGCTGCTTGTAACTTTGTCACCCCCTATAGATCAGATTCTGCCTTTAAACGCAAGCTATAATAAAACACATGACACCTAATTTAGCCGTCAGATTGATTGAAAATATATGACACCTAATTTAGCCATCAATAAGATTGAATGCAAGCTATGATAAACCAGAACAACGGCAACGCCAAAGCGTAGCGAATCCCATCGAACAGAAATGGCTGGCATTTTTACAAACGAAATATAGCAAATATCATAAAATAACACACATAAGAAAGGCCACCATTTTCAAAATGGGTGTTCAATAGCCAAGTTGTCATCAGAAGAAGTAATATGCTTTAAGTAGCGACATATAAAAATTTTAAAAATCGCACACACGTACATGTAAATGGTGGCCATTTTTTGAAATGGCCGCCTACTACCCAAAATGTCATAAGACAGTATGCAATCCCTACAAGTAATTACATATCAAGTATGAACAAAATCGCTCCATTACTTTTTGCGTTATAATAAAAATGTAAAATAACACACATAAAAATAGTGACCATTTTTCAAAATGGCCGACTACTCCCCAAAGTTAGACAATGTGCCATGCTTAAAGTATTCACATATCAAATATGAACAAAATCGCTCCAATACTTTTCGAGTTATAGTAGAAAATGTAAAAATGACAGCCATTTTTTAAAATGGCCGCCTACTACCCAAAGTGTCATTAGACAGTATGCCATGCTTATAGTATTCACATATAAAATATGAATAAAATCGCTCTACTACTTTTTGAGTTATAGTAAAAAAAAGAAAAATAGCACAAGTGAAAATGGCGGCCATTTTTCAAAATGCCCGGCTGTTACCTAATGGCATTGTGCCATGTGTAAAGTATTCATATATCAAATATGAACAAAATCGCTCCATTACTTTTTGAGTGACAGTAAAAAATGTTAAATAACACACGTAAAAATGGTGGCCATTTTTCAAAATGGCCGCCTACTACCCAAAATGTCATTAGACATTGTGCCACGCTTAAAGTATTCACATACCAAATATGAACAAAATCGCTCCACTAGTTTTTGAGTTACAGTAAAAAATGTTAAACAACACACGTAAAAATGGTGGCCATTTTTCAAAACGGCCGCCTACTACCAAAAATGTCATTAGACAGTGTGCCATGCTTAAAGTATTCACATACCAAATATAAACAAAATCGCTCCACTACTTTTCCAGTTACAGCAAAAATCGTAAAATGACGTGCAAAGGCAGCCATTTTTCAAGATGGCTGCCATGTATTTTTTCTACATTTGCATTTCTAGCTTAATCAATGTTCTATATAACCTTTTACATTTTGAAAATCAAATTTCGAGCAGCAATTCTACCCCCATTGGGTATATGTGTACAAAATCGGGCCAACGGTATTTTAGTTATTGCCCGGACGGACGGACGGACGGATGGAGGCGTTCCCTATATCCCTCTGAACTTCGTTCGATGGGATAAATATATGACACCTAATTTAGCCGTCAGCAAGATTGAACACAGTTTATGATAAAAATATGACACCTAATTTAGCCACCAGTAAGATTGAACGCAAGCTACAGGTATGATAAAATATATGACACATAATCTAGCCACCAGTAAGATTGAACGCAAGCTATGATAAAATATATGACACCTAATTTTGCCGTCAGAAAAATTGAACGCAAGCTATGATTAAATATATGACACCTAATTTAGCCATCACACAGATAGAATGCAAGCGATGATAAAGTATATGACACCTAATTTAGCCAAAATTCTAGACCAGGTTGCTATGTTGGGATTCGAAACGACAGTTTGTCAAAATCATTGATGCGTCATATGAGCGGTTTATTAATTTGTTATAGATCACGGTGCGAACTAGCAAAATAAAAGACCATATGGGTATTTAGGTGAGAAGTCAATGAAAAATCGACCGTCATATCCGCCACTGTGGTATTGCAAAATTATTCATTTAACATTTACGTTTATATTCATTTCATTTATTGCTGCGACTCAAGGGCCACAGAACCATAATATGAGTACACGCTGGTAATGGGGGCTTCGTCCTCTGTATACATTTGCTCGAATATCGAGAGCACTTAGATATGCCTCGTTTAGATACTATAGCAGGTCCTGAAAATTCAAATCATTCGATACAAACTTTTCTAATCGTACGGGAGTGCTCTCTTCAACCTGGCGCGAATACCAGCGAACAACAAAGTTAGTTATTTCATGAATCTCGAATTAGCTTGCCCAGTACGTTTAATTTCTGGTCAATGATAGACCTGGTAGAGCAACATTGAATTTTTCTCAAGACAGCCATTTTTTGAATTTCAAATCTTAAAATTTCGAATCGTAGACGAATAAACACAAGGAGCTCACACGTCCCGAACTCACGACCTCAAGTCGCCTAGACCACTCGGCCACCCAGAGGTTAGAGGTTGAGTCACTTTAAACATTCCACAGTATTTTGTCTGTGAGTTTGGGTTAATGTACAAATGTGTTGTATTGATTTTTGTGCGCTCGTCAAGCTGTCAACCGTTGCAAAATGTATATGTGAGATGGATATTCCAATATATGGCATCACTAATTATCCTACCGATCGTAGTTCGTGAGGAATATGGAAAAGCCATCCGTCAGTCTGTTCGGACGATAACGCAAATATCGGTTGGCGGATTTGTTTCAAAGGATGGGTATCGATATGTTGAACTTTTTGAACATACGTTTCTCTTAATTTTACACATCTTCAATTTAATGGTAGTCTTTTGAAATTTGAAATAAATATATATACTTTTCTCTACATTGTTTTAGAAAACACACCAGACACTTTTTTTGTTCTTGGTATCATATGTTCGGAATGAAACGAAACATCTATCCGAACCTCGTTGGAACAAAATGACATAAACACAATGTGTTTAGGTCTCTCAATATTGTATATGTAATTGTAAAAAGGAAAGTTTGGTTGATTTTAAAAAAGCATCTTGTTAATAAAAGGTTTATCTTGATTTTTATCCATTTTTGGGGTTTTTCTTTCAATTTTTGAATACTTCTTGTTAAATCAACCAAAATTTCCTTTGTATAACTATAATATTGAGAGGTCTAAGAAAATGTTGTATATGCCATTTTGTTCCAACAAGCTTCAGAAAGATATTTTATTTCATTCTCAAGAATTGGTAAAATAGAACAATAACAATTGCACTAAAAAATTTTTTTAACAAGAACAGTTATATAAAATATATATAAAAAATTTCGCATTAAATTGTTGTCAATCAGTCAAAATTACAAAAAGGACCGTGTTTTTACAGAATGTTTTCAATGATTGGTTAATTGTTGAATTCAGTTCACCATTTCAATACCAATCCTTTCTTATGGTGGTATCTTATGGGTATCGGACGTATGTACGAAAGGGAATTTCAAATATGGCCACTCAATTCAAAATGGCCGCCATTCAAATACAGGCTGTTGGATTTGGTCTACAAATAATTATTGTCAAAGAAAGAATGTCTAAAAATTGGTCTCTTGTCGATTTTGGCCTATATTGTCGCATCAGGAACGATTATGTCGACCCCATGTATATAAATGACATATCATTGAAAAGAGGCAAGGTGTACAGTATCTTCATGGTACATTGAATAAAATCTGTACAATCATCACTGATACGTCGTTAACGCGTTCCATCCAAGAGTGGTAGGGTCGAAGTACGGCAAAATACGTCTATGGTCTAGTAGGACACAACAGAGACACTGCAATGCCACTTCAGAGAGACACAACAGTGAGACACTACAGAGAGACATTACATTGAGATACTACAAAGGTACACAATAGAAACGCCTCAGAGAGGCACTACAGTGAGACAGATGCTACATAGGGATACAATACCTCAGACACATCAGAGAGACACCTCCATACTACCAGAGGGACACTACAGAGAGACACCTCCATACTACCAGAGGGACACTACAGAGAGACACCTCCATACTACCACAGGGACACTACAGAGAGACACCTCCATACTACCAGAGGGGCACTACAGAGAGACACCTCCATACTACCAGAGGGACACTACAGAGAGACACCTCCATACTACCAGAGGGACACTACAGAGAGACACCTCCATACTACCACAGGGACACTACAGAGAGACACCTCCATACTACCAGCGGGACACTACAGAGAGACACCTCCATACTACCAGAGGGGCACTACAGAGAAACACCTCCATACAACCAGAGGGACACTACAGAGACACCTCCATACACCAGAGGGACACTACAGAGACACCTCAGAGATACACTACAGAGAGACACCTCCATACTACCAGCGGGACACTACAGAGAGACACCTCCATACTACCAGAGGGACACTACAGAGAGACACCTCCATACTACCAGAGGGACACTACAGACACACCTCCATACTACCAGAGGGACACTACAGAGACACCTCAGAGATACACTACAGAGAGACACCTCCATACTACCAGCGGGACACTACAGAGAGACACCTCCATACTACCAGAGGGACACTACAGAGAGACACCTCCATACTACCAGAGGGACACTACAGACACACCTCCATACTACCAGAGGGACACTACAGAGACACCTCAGAGATACACTACAGAGAGACACCTCCATACTACCAGAGGGGCACTACAGAGAGACACCTCCATACTACCAGAGGGACACTACAGAGAGACACCTCCATACTACCAGAGGGACACTACAGAGAGACACCTCCATACTACCAGAGGGACACTACAGAGAGACACCTCCATACTACCAGAGGGACACTACAGAGAGACACCTCCATACTACCACAGGGACACTACATAGAGACACCTCCATACTACTGACAGCATGACTTCTATCACACAACCTACATACATGTATCTGTGTACATATTTCATTTATCCCTCCTATGCATTACCATAAAATGTCATTCTAGCTGTTTGTAATATATGTCATTTCCACATCGTTGTGATTACTTCTTCAATTTCATAATGCATCTGAACAGTCACAATGGGTAAGCACTTATGGGTAATGTATACCAATCGATGATTATAAATAAAATATAAGCTATTAAATTCCATTGAATGTGCCCACAGGATTGCATCAATTGGAGTGATGACAATGTTTAGTTAAGAGTGCATTGATTCTTACACATTTGTGCTTGATTTTATACATTCCTGAATTTCTAAATAGTCTAGTCCATTAAGATGATTTTAAATGTTATTTCAAGAAAGTGTGCACGGGATACAAAAATGAAAAGGCATTTGGATACAAAATTGGAATAGACGGCAGGCCCGTAGCCAGAATTTTCCAAGTGGGGGTTCGCTTTTCAAAAAAATTCTAGGGGGGGTTCACTTTGGCAAATTTGGCCAAAAATCACTCAAAAATAGTCAGAATGGTGAAAAACTGCATGATTTTGAAAGAAATTTTGGGCAGGGGGGGGGGGTTCGCCCATTATCGGAAATAATGACTTTTTATTTCTGAGTGATGTGAGGAATATGGATGGGATATAATAAAATATAATATATTCAAATTTTCTCTGCAAATCGTGCACATTACCTACATGTATGTCATTAGCAAGCTCAACACGAAGGTTTACAGTCAATATATGTTCCTGACAAAAAGTATAATTCCAGAGACTACTTACATTCAACTTATAACATGTACTCATATTTTATTCTCCTGATAATTTACAAACAGAAGCTATTTAAAAGTTAAAGTTTTATATTTTACACTGTTCAAAGGGCTCGGTGACTATTACAAGTGATTTTAGATGTTCATATCTTTCACATGAGTACTCTGGCCACAGTGGTTTTTATTAAAATATGTTTTCTTTCAAGTGAAGTCCCCATCATATTAAAACATCAATCCAACTCTCTGGAAAATTATGGATTAGGACCCCATCTTGGCACTTAAAAATGCTTATTTTCTAAAAAGAGGATCTTGTTTTTCTCAATTTAAACATATCAAAAGTTATACAATATATTATTCCTGAAAAGGGAATGGCGTTTGAAATACGTTAAAGTTAAAGACCACATATATCCCATGTTATTATGTTAGGGAAAACTCATGCTATTCATTGTTTTCAGTAAATTTTGGTTGAAAATTATTATCTCCAAAACTAGACTTTCAAACCATTCTACTTTTGAAGAAGTTTTAGATCCCTTGTTGAATAATCTTTTCATGCATTAAAAATCAAAAAAGAAGGTCCTCTTTTGTGTATATAGGTTCAAGATTTTGGAACTATTGTTGACATGGGGTCCGGTCCCTATACATAATTTTCAGAAGTGTTTGATTTATATTTTTATCATGGGGACTTCACTTGACAGAAAACATATTGTTTTAATAAAAAAAAAAACTGTATTTATGTCCAGAAAATACCCATGGTGAAATATATGACTGTCTAAAATCACTTGCAATACAGCACATGGTCCTTTTCAAATTTCAAATGTTCAAATTTCAAGTATTTCACACACTGCACGTGTATTATCATAGAGATCATTAACAAGAGACATCACAAACAGCACTCTCCTACTAAATCTGCACGATCCGGTAAAAAATTGTTAGATTTGGGAAATTTTTTTCAAAACGAAGGCTCTTCTTGTGAAGCCATCGAACTAGCTTATTTTTGTTAGTGTATTCAGTTAGCGGAATGCGTTTCAAATCATCTGAATAGACCATAAACAGATAGGTTAATTATAGTAAATTGTGATTTAGATGCAGTTTTATGACCTACCTGCACCCCCCACTCCCACAAAAATGAAAAAGCAATTTTGTAAAAATTGTTGAAAAAACATTAACAAATCTGAAGTGGTCATAATACACCATGTACAATCAATGTACCCCCTTTTTTCATGCTCATTTCACTCGTAGTGATGCAAACCCCAAAACATTGCACCCCTTGACAATTGCTGGCTACGCCCCTGTACCTGTATGCAATTTTTACCCGAGAGTGCAAAGTTTTAACCGATCATACGGATTTTGCAAGAGAGTGCTGTTTGATTCCTACCTGCGAACATGTAACATTAATAAAAAATCATTTTTTCAGACAATTTGCAACTCTGTTATATTAAACAAAGCACTGGCTGACAGTCAGCTTCATATAAACTGCAGGAATTGTTTGTTGGATTCTGCATTGACAACTGACACTATAATCAACAATTATTAGATATAGATAGATGTTTGGTATTAGAATTATTGCTAATGTGGCATGTCATAGCACCATGAGGAGCATAGAAATATACTAAATCTAATATGCCATTAAATGAATCACATTTAGCATGTTTCCCGTGAGACTCCCCAATCTAAATATATCAGAACAAAACAACATTTTTATCTTACTGACAAATAATGTTGTTTCATACAAATGTACACAAAGCTAGTCTCCCATGACATCTATCAAACATTCATAAAATGCATTTACAATTAAACTGCATTTAAAGCTGGCCACAGAAGAGAATCACGTCAATTACTTTGATATTCATTATTATGAGAATGGGTTTTCCAATACAGTGTACCATTATGTAATAATTTAGTTGCAGGTAAATATAATATTGATAACAAAGTTTCAGTTTTTTAGAGCTAGTACTCCTGTAAGAATATGTAGTAAACATGCAAGTCCAATACTTAGGTTCTAGGTACATAACATGCTGGAATATAGAGTGTATCTTATAAGGAGGATATTTTTATATCTTTGTACTATTGCCGAGGTTGGGGACATACACCTGTATCGATTCCAGTCCCATTTCATAAAAATGTTTAATTCTATTGCTATTTTGAAAGATTTATCAAAAAATCTTATTATTTCAAATTTTGAAATATTAGAAACTAGAATGTACTAAGAACCCAAATGAGAATGGATATACAGCTGTATATGTTAAGTATGAATAGTCATTTTTATACACATTCTTCACTTGGAATATACATGTACTTTGTATCAAAAACCTCCCAGTACATCACATTTATTTTTCTTACACTCACTCGAAGATACAAAACAATATCGCAGAAAACCATTTTATTCAATCAAGTATTTCTATTATTATTATTATTATTATTATTATATCTTGGTTACCGCCATATTTTGACGAGCAATACCTCATTGGTATATTCCGTAATTTACGTATTTTTACACTCGAAGATAGAGCCAGAAACCCCTCCTTGAAGGAGCCCTGTTTTCTTTTATGTGCACAGGTACACAGACATACAGGTACACACCACAGCCTTGTATACGAGTCGTGAACCACTCAGTCAAACACCCAGAATTACATAACGCACAAACAACTTGTCTGAACCGGGAATCGAACCCGGGGCCAAGCGATATTGGTAATCTTGACTCTCTCTGCCACTGAGCCATAGCCATATTGCTCTTTAATTCGGCAAAATTATTGATGGCTAGATAGATGTCACACTGTCCAATATCCTTGTTTTTCATAAATGCAATGCACTACCAGGCAGTTTAACATATCACATATGCACTGCCAGACACTTTAACATATCACATATGCACTGCCAGACACTTTAACATATCACATATGTACTACCAGGCACTTTAACATATCACATATGTACTACCAGGCACTTTAACATATCACATATGTACTACCAGGCAGTTTAACATATCACATATGTACTACCAGGCACTTTAACATATCACATAGAATATGTCAATGAGTATCAAATGACTTTGAAGAGTATCAACTAGTCATGTGATCAGATGTGATCTGACCAATCAGTCTGTCATTTCACTTAGATGTGATAATAAATCATAATAATACAGTTCTCCATATCATGGGCTTTCAAGAGACCCATGTCCATATACATGTGCTTTGTTCTCCAAATTAATACAATATCAGCATTTACAGCTTTGGTGTTGCCTGAGAACCATACTCTCTAGCTATGTAATCCAACTAATAGTTTTTGTGCTAGTCTACGGTCAGAGCTACATCGGCATTTTCACAGTAATAGGCTGGAAAAAATGTTCAGTTTTAAAAAATTTAGGTATATGTATAACACTATAACTGAAACATATGTTTATATTTATAGTGAAGTAAAATGTTATTAATCAATTCTACTGTCATTTTACATGAAATACTGTACTTCTTTGGCTTAAACTGGCTCTACATACTGGATACTAATAAATGTAGAGTATTACATGTTATAACATGGATTAGGCACCAAGATAAAATAGTACAGGCTAACTGAAATTGGTGTTGAAGATCAAGGATAATTTGGGTCAACACTACTGAAGGTCAAAGAAGGTTAATGTCAAAAAAGGTCAAGGTCAAGATCAAATGCCAACGTCAAAACTTAAAATGTAAGGTTAAAGGTCATTGTATAGTAGCCAGGACAAATCAGTTGCCTTCTACTTTTTCTTACGTCTTAGATTATTAACAGTAACATGTTTGAAAAGTAGAGTAAATTACTGGGATTTTTTGGCTTACCTTGTTACAATATGGGCATTCCCCAAAAACAACATTAAAACTCTGTCGACTGGAAGGCAAGGCTTTCAACCACTGGAATAAGGAATAAAGCCTGTAAACAACGCTATCCAGGAGATTTTCTCTTCAATACACATATTTGTCTTCCCGGGTTTGTCTTGTGATCAACATTTTTGTCTATTTTCAAAGTCATCTTGCAGATTTTAGTGTATTGTATTGATATTGTATTGTATTGCATTGTATTGATATTGTATTGTATTGCATTGTATTGATATTGTGTTGTATTGTATTGTACCGTATTGCATTGTATTAATATTGTGTTGTATTGTATTGTATTGTAGATAAGTTATCAGATATCAGGTGTTTGGTTGACCAAAAAATACTTTGGTCAATTATTGCAGTGTGTTCTCAGTGAATGAATACAATAAAGTCTAAGTCCCAATTTATTAGCATGGAGTTGAAGGAATGGACTGGAGACTCTGAGTATTGTACTCACCTCAAAGAGACATGTCTGATGGAATGGTTGCTTGCATCTGTTGTCATCACAAACTTGGTCAGGAATTTGGGTCTCTAGTCTATATGCGTAACATATACCACACTCTGTACTGAAGTCCTGAAGAAGAAGACATAATTCAGCCATATAAAGGATGCTACTAATGTGTTCATAATAAAATCATACTTGATTACATTTATATTTGATACTCAGAAGGAGAACTCACTATTTTGAGAATAATTTTTGCAGAAATGTAATGTGTTACAGCCAATCTTTAAATTTTGTTACATTTAAAATGTAAGTATATAAATGCATTTATGGTTTTGGCTTACTCAAAAAAATGGTAGGCTAGACTAAAGAAAATTTTGAATTTTGCAATATCATAATAGCTATTGGTTATTTACTAGTAAATGTTTGAATAGATGTCACATCATACCTATAGCCTTCTTAGTGTTTAATATAGCCATCAGATGCAGGGCATACCGTAGTGAAGAAAACTGAACTCAAAAATCCCTGATAGACAAATGCAGAAGTCTTTCTATATGCTTATTAAGATGCTATAATGTATATCAACTGTTTTTCCCCATACCTCCTTTTTAGAGTTACTTGGTGACGGAAACTTTCTCCCTAGAAGTGTTTGAAGATTCTCTAGTAGAGATGTATCAGGATTCCTGAAAGCAGAACTTAAAACAGTAAATGAAATTCCTTGAAACAATATACGGAATATTAAGAATGCCACAGTTTCCAAATATAATGTAAATTGCTTTAATTTGGGGCTATTTTATTTGGAGGATTGACCCACCAGTAAAATGCGGATATTCGAGAGCTACATCTAGCAAGTACGAAGATTTTTCCCAAAAATTGACATAGACTTAATTTGCGTTTTTTATCAATTCACAGAATCAGCCAAATTAAAACAGCCATCATATTTAACCACTTTACAGTACTAGTAATCGTATTCCTCATGCTAAATGGTCTAGGAATGAAACAACCTTGTGTGCCATGAAGACTTCAAATATATAAGCACTGGTTCCAAAGGGAAAGGACTAAAAGTTGTAATGGAACTTAGCAAGAAAAATCAAACTCTAAGTGCATCCCAGTTAAGAAAAACAAACCCCATATAGCCCAAAACCATGATCTAACGTGAAAAGAAACAATGTCTAATACCCCTTTTCCCCCACCATTCGAGAACCAATATTTTATTATCAAACTAGATAACTAGAGTAAATGGCAATGATCCTCACCTAATGTGATCAAAACGTTACAGACATTCAACAATTGATTGTGTATGTTTTGACTTAATATTAAAACTCAGAATGAATAGTAACAACAGTTATGTAATCAAGAGAACTGTTATGAGCCGTGTCATTCTTCTATTTTTATATATTTACCCCTAAATTGTGAAAGAAATGGATTTAAAATCAGAAAACTAGCTTGGTGACGTGTTGGCACTCACCTCAATGAAGGGAAAATAAAAAGCAAAATGATCAAAGAGATTTTTTTCATACAGATTAAATCCTGTTTGGGCAATCCCATGTTATTAGTCTTCATAAAGCCATTGTAAATGATTTAACCATGCATTATTGATGAGGACTTGCAATAACAATTTCTGCTCTTAATAATAGAATCTTTTTGGCCATTATCCATTAAAATATTTGTTCATATTTGGAACAAAATGAGAAAAACAGAATTACAAGCATTTATTAATATTTATCGGAACCAGAGTCTGTCTATTTAAAAGCTGTTAAACAGTAATGAATGAAAAAAATTTCAATAATTATCTATTCTTCCTGAGGGATTCCTAATGGATTTTAGTTGCAAAGTTGTGACCATCATCGGATGAGGATTACTATGGTGACCATTTCATACCATTATCATCAAAGGCTCATTTAGAGAGAGTCCTTTTAATAAGACAAGCCTATTTAATTCAAGTGATTGTTTTAATCCATTTATAGAAACAATCTTATTTGTGTCATTATTAGTAGCAGTGATGGCTTCATAAAAAGACTGTTTTAGTAGAGGATTTCTCCATGGAGTATATGGATATACTTTTATAAAATTTATATATTAAATTTGATTACGCTGCAAGTCAAGCATAACTTCATTAACACAGAAATTAATTGATGTTTATGATGATAGAGTATGTAATTTGCAAGGTAAGTTGAGACGTATCAAAAAGACAAAACAAAGAAAAGGTCATCTTATTATTGTTGGTGAGCAATGGCAATAATCTTATTTGGGATATTAAAATGTTATTTTATTCTCTTTACAGAAAAATGAATACATTGAAGTAAATAAAGTTTAATTATATTGAAAACTAAATAAGAAACCAATGGAAAAATATGAGTCGGTTGATGTTGAAAAGATAAGAAATTATTGTACTTCAGTTACTACATAGCATTGTGATTTTATTATCACTTTAATTTTACATTATAATTCTTTTAAATTTTTTTAATTATTTTATTCCACTTCACAGTATACACTTCTGTACATTATTCTATATTATATACATCATAATGGATACAACAACGTTAAACCTGTTTAGTGTTTTTAAGATTATTTCCTGGATTGAATTGAAAAACAGATTTTAGATCTCAAAATTGAGATTTTTTCATGTTCGCACTTCATTTTCATTTGATGTGCTTTAATGAGAGAAAAGTTACTTGTAGAAGTGAAAATATTTAACGTGGATATTAACATTCATTCTCTTTTGAGAAAAGGTAAGATACTGAAGATGATGAATTCTGTACCTGGAAAATAAAGTTAATAACATTGATATAAAAGAAATGATTTAGTTTTGGTCTATTTGCTGGCATAACATACACAATAATTCAATCTAACAAAACCTGGTAAGTTATTGCATGGGCTTTCAATAATCTCTTGAAAGCCATGGTTATTGCAAAGGTCTACAAAAGTGTAACAATTGGTTGAAGAAGCCAAAACTCCAAAACGAATTTGGCTTATGTCATCACTTTTTGGTGTAGACAAAAACCAAGTCACGATATTAGGTTATATAATGAAGAAAAACATACTGAAATAAGGTTTATATCCAGATTCCTCAACTATTACATCCAACTATTGCATCTTTGTAATTACTGGAAAAACAATTCCTAAATGACAATGAAATGAGTCGATCAATTTATTTACCATTACAAAAATTACTACCTGAAATTTATATTACCACTGACTAAGGGAATTAAAGTCCATAACATTACAACGTCAGATACCCATTTATCAAGAATTATGTATTATTCTGAAAAAATACAATACTAATTTTCATGTACAGGGTGACCAAAAACATACATGTACCTACCAAAAACTGCAATAAATATTTTAACATATCTATGCAAGATTCTTCAGGACAGAAACTGGAATCTATGGATGATAATACAACATCTAATTCAATATGTAATCAAGCTTAATATTTAATTTGTTTTCCATTTTTAGATAGTCTGAGGCAAGATGAACAATTGAGGTAACAATTTTGAAGTTATAATTATATTGTCATCCATTTTGTACATTGTAACTAAAGTGGATTGCCTTCATTTTATAGAAATTGTCAAATCTTTGTCCAGTTTTTTCGGGTCACCCTGTATATATGTTCTATCAGAGTTTGATTTGTCTTGTTTGCAATAGTCGCATTATAAATAAAACAAATGTAATTTCAGTTAGACCTGAAGTTAATAACATCATCAGGAAATTAACTTTAACATTATTGAAAGGAATTTCAATAGAAAAGGAAGATCGGAAAAGTGAGACATCATAAATGTCCAAATCAGATGAATAATTTCTGGAACAATTCAGCTCGGAACATTTGACTTTGGAATGATAAAATTATACTCAGATTCTGGAACACATAGAAAATGTTTAAATTGTCCCTAATGAATTAGATGATGATTAGACAGATAATAGATCATTTATATTTTTCAGTAGTCTGCAATAAAAGTCTGCACATAGCAAAATCTATCTATAACATGGAAGATGAAGCAAACAAACCAGCATGTAAGATAATTGAAAAATTTGACAAATACTAAACAAAAAATCAAGATTTCGTGATGGGATTTAATAATAGGACTAAGAGAGACATGCCAACTACTATCAGTGGTTTGATAGTGATATGTGCACTGCCAATCATTTTAAACATGACCTATGGACAGGAATTAGACCCTTTCAGTGAACATACACATGAACACTTTAATGAGTCTGTCAATGAAACTGATTATGGCCCAGTTTATACATATGAGCCTTATGTCACTTATGGACCAAGTAAGAATGAAAACAGAGAGGGTCCAATGCCAACCAAAGAGACGACATACCAGCCTATTGTCACAAGTGGACTAAGTAGGGATGAAAACAGTGAGACTCCAATGCCAACCAAAGAGACGACATACCAGCCTATTGTCACAAGTGGACTAAGTAGGGATGAAAACAGTGAGGCTCCAATGCCAACCAAAGAGACGACATACCAGCCTGATGTCACAAGTGGACTAAGTAGGGATGAAAACAGTGAGGCTCCAATGCCAACCAAAGAGACGACATACCAGCCTGATGTCACAAGTGGACTAAGTAGGGATGAAAACAGTGAGGCTCCAATGCCAACCAAAGAGACGACATACCAGCCTGATGTCACAAGTGGACTGAGTAGGGATGAAAACAGTGAGGCTCCAATGCCAACCAAAGAGACGACATACCAGCCTGATGTCACAAGTGGACTGAGTAGGGATGAAAACAGTGAGGCTCCAATGCCAACCAAAGAGACGACATACCAGCCTGATGTCACAAGTGGACTAAGTAGGGATGAAAACAGTGAGGCTCCAATGCCAACCAAAGAGACGACATACCAGCCTGATGTCACAAGTGGACTAAGTAGGGATGAAAACAGTGAGGCTCCAATGCCAACCAAAGAGACGACATACCAGCCTATTGTCACAAGTGGACTGAGTAGGGATGAAAACAGTGAGGCTCCAATGACAACTAAGAAGACAACACACCAGAATGGGCCCAAATGTGTCTCCGAATCATACCAACCAGAGGAACCACAATGTAATAACAAGACATTTACAAGAAAATACCATGCTTACACATGTGATGGACGCTGTGATGATCCTAACATCAATGTTAGAAATGGTCCGTATTGTTCCTGCCATCGATTGTGTCTAATATCAAAGGACTGTTGTGTTGACTTTCAAACATTTTGCTGGGAAGCTTACAAAACAGGTGAACAAATGAGAGAAACAATTGAGGCTTCAGAATCTTTTGTTGGACCAGAGTGTACACACTTATTGGAAGCACGTCATACAGAATCTTATTGGATAGTGAAAAAGTGTCCTAAAGGGTATCCTAACCCTGCAATAAAGTTCAAATGTGAGGGACCAATAACTGAATTTACTCAGATAGTACCTGTAGCATCCAAAGCAACAGGTTTAAGCTATAAAAATTACTACTGTGCACAATGCAACAACCTCACTGACATTATTCCATGGGGTCTTAATGTTACATGTAAAGATGTATGGGAAGGCTCCATAGATTCCCCACAAACTCTAGTAAGATATGTAACCAAAGGAGACTGTCAACTTACCTACATGTCTCATATTGGACACAGGTGTCTTATGATCTCTCAACAGATGGCAATCCAACCTCCCAGTTGTCATGGAAACTGGCTGGGCTGTTCTGAGAAACATGTTCATCTTTGTGAAAATGGATTTCAAATGCCAATCAGTGTATCTTTCTGGGGTTTGACAGGGTTCAAGAATATTCATTGCGTGATATGTAGACTTGGTTCCCTACCTAGTTTAAGAGATATACATTGCAGCGTGTTCTTTCTACCAGGGGATGGAGGAGGGCCAACATTAGGAAAGTTCTCATTTGGTATCTTGGTTGACTTTGATCCAACAGGGGGTAGCAATGTTGGTTTTGATTTCAAAGATTCCTCAAAAGTCTTTGGGTGTAAAATGAACACACCAGAGTCATCAGAATGTATGTCATATTGTCCTGATGGGTATGACTACATCAATGGCCAATGTGTTTTCAGATATCAACTGTTACCCATGGAAGTGTCTGGCAAGTGGTATTCACCAGGTTTAAAATGGTATCTTGATTCACATCTAAGGCAATTTCCATTTTCAAAGGATCCAAAAAGCGACATTGTAGCCTTCTTGTCTGATATGCTTGATAAGGAATTCATTGTGGATAAAATTCAAATAAGTTTTCCAACAATTGATGTCATTAAATGGAATGATGCAAATCAAATGGTTCATTTTAAATGTGTTGGCAAATACAAACTGAAGGCTAACAACATGCTTAGTAAAGCAGAAATTCATGCCAATCTATTCAATGTCTTTGTCAACCATGTAAAACACTATCCTAGGAACCCTGAGTTGAATCTATATCTTTTGACAATGTGTTTCAAAATGTTTCAAAGAGAATCGTGTTGGAACTATGGTAGAATAAACCATTATGGGGAAGACTTAAACGACAATTATTCAAACAACACATCAAATTCAACTAACACACTGAATTCAACTGATCTGACCCCATCAGAAATTATGAATAGAACAGTCTGCCCAGGGAAACCCCTTGATCCTCAATCTTTTGAATTGTTGACCAATGGGAGTGTTTTTATTATTCAGTCCGAGACTTTGATATCACCAGATGAATTTATGTTGTTGGGAAATACTGTTTATGTTTGCGTTAATGAAAGTGCATTTGAAGAGAAACAGGTTGGGGTTTGGAAATTTGACAACACAATGGGTCTCCTGACAATTATATGTTCAGCTCTCTCTTTAGTTTGTCTTGCAATAAGACTTTTATTGCAACCAATGGTACCTCTGTATCAAAATTTCCCAGGAAAGTTACAATTCTCCCTTGTGTTGGCATTATTCTTTGCAGGAGTCTTCTTTTTGATTGGGCCAAACTGCACCCACATAAAGGCTCTTTGTAGTGCCCTAGGTGTATTGATTCACTGGAGTTACCTTGCAGCTTTCTCCTGGACAGTCATCATTGCAAGGGACATGTATATGCTCTTTGGACCATCTAGTTTTTCTAGATCTTCAGAGAGAGGTGTTGATGTATTCATCATGTATTCAATCTTTGGCTGGGGGGTTCCCATTATATTAGTGGCTATTGCACTTGGACTTGACTTTTCAGACATTGACCCCTTATACAAACCAATGTATGGTGCAGAAGGACTCTGCTGGATCACACAAAGGTATGCCTTGATCATATTTTTCACATTGCCAATTGCCCTAACCATCATCATAAATGTTGGGCTTTTCATTCCCACTGCAATCACACTTTGGAAATCCATGTCCAAAAGGGCACAAACAACTAACTCTAAGCAGGAATATCCTCTAGGGATTTACACTAAGTTGTTTTGTCTCATGGGGTTCACGTGGATCTTTGCCTTCATAGCTCCTTATAATGTTGCATTCTGGTACATTTTCATTGTACTTAACTCGAGTCAAGGGGTATATATCTTTGTGGCATTCGTTTTAACAAAAAAGGTATGGATTTCACTCAGCTCTAAAAGAGGCCTCAATAATGGTACTTCTAACACAAAAACAACAATGGTGTCTGCAAGTAGCATTCAAAATTTGAATAAAATGCAAGAAACAACTGAAATGGAAAACATATCCCAACCTGTGAGTGTTGAAAATGTATCAATGAATTTATAAAGAGGTAGAGCATGACAAAATATCTTAATCATAAAATACCAGTGTCCCGTGTAAAGTTTGAAAATATGTTTTTATCATTCATTTACTATTTGTTATAACCTTATCTTTAAAAGTTATTTTAGAGATAAAATAAATTGCTAGTTTTTCATTACTCAAATATTTCACCATACAGTTCAAAAAAAAAATTCAATATTTCAATAATAAAATGCCATATCTAATGTGCCACTTTAATGTTTTAGCTTATCAAAAATAATTTGCAACCTAAGTGATGTCATCATGACTCACTCAGTTGGTCTAAATATGCTGAACTTCAAAAATAAACCAAAGTTGACTGTCTAACTAGGTTAAAAGGATGAATTTATTATGTTTTAGATATCATTGTACCATTGGTTTCTATGAGAAATAAAATTTTGAAATGCATTTTTCTCTGAACGATTTTCATGCATGGATGAATTCATTTCATTTAAGACAGGTTGAAAAAAAAACTTAACTAACATTTCATTGATACTGCAATATCAGCAAGGCGACTAAAACTAAAATATATCTTCAATTAGGGTGGCGGACCAATTGAACTCCCTTTTTAGATCATATATAATCCAAGTTGAAGGAGTTGTTACATTATATTATTACTAAGAACCCTTGGCACTATATAACTGCAAAATTTGGGGTATATAGGTTGGAAAATAAAAAAGTTGTAGTGTCTTGAAAAAAAGTGGCGTTTTTTTGGCCCACCATGTATATATATATCTAATTGTACATAAATTACACTGTACCTGTGCATTAATCACTAAGTTTGCATATAAAAAAATGCAGAATTTGTAATTTATAGTGTTGGGACAAAATACTTAATATAACAGGCATTAATGCACAATACAAAATATGTTTGAAAAACCTCATGTATTCATTCATAAATTGCTACATACCATTGATCCAAGTTTGAATTCATGCTATCTCGAAATTCTTGAATCACTGGAATGAAAAACAAAGGTTAATGTATAAAAAATGGGCTTTGATAAGTTATGGATCTGTTTTATTGTAAACATTTCTTATGCTATCAGGACTTCTGGAATTGCAGGATTATGAATTTATACAATTTTCATTCCTAAAGCTGTTTTGTGTTTCAGTTTCAGTTTAGATTTTATTTCTACCCACACCTGTGACTATAAATACATATACAATATACATGTCATACAAAATTGATACAATATCTAATGACAGTTACTTAATTTAATCCTTTCAAAATACTTTGTAAAAATTTACTGAGTTGAATTGTATACCTTTTGTTTGTAAATAGTTCAGTTAATTTATACATATTTGGCCTGTTTTGGAAGTATGGTTTTAAATATTTCTCCCTATGATCATTCTAGTATTAAGCAAATATTCATCACCTAATTTTCGTGAATATATGTCTTGGTATATTATTATACCTTCCAATTTCTATTGTTACAATGTAACAAATACATCAATTAAAATTGAATGGTCATTGTTTGCAAAACTACTTTCCAGTCATTGAGCATGTAGACAAATAAGCAAAATAGGAAAATAATTTCTAACAGACCCGAACTCCCGTGCAGTGATATATCACTGCGGCGGGCAGGTATCTCATCGTAAGCATGGTAACTTCGTAATAAACAACTGACGTGATTGGTTCTAGTCCCATGCTCAGGTCGCGTGATTGTTAAAGGATGTGTCTGGGTATATGCCCTTTTGGTCCCTCAGTCAAATGTTTGTGAAATATGGTTTTTATTACTGTCCTGGTTATATTTAATAAGTATATTTACTTTTTCACGAATTTTGATGCATAATTAACCCCCTGCTGAGAGTCAGAATAAGTATCTTAACAAACAAAAAAATAGTCATTATCATAGAAAAAAACACCAATGGCAACATGTATGACATACAAAGAAGAAATAACTTAAGACCGATGAAGAATTAAAAAGAAAATCATATTTTTGAAATATATTTTAGATTAAAATTTTTTTCAAATTTTTGAATTTCCCGCCAGTTTAATTTGAAGGGGGAAAAACAAGATGGCTGCCATTTTATGTAAGAAATATCAGGAAAAAAGTTGCTTCACTTTTAGTTTTCACAATGAGCACAGTTTTCCGGTTTAGATTTTTTGACTGATTCTGACTCTTCGTCACCAGGGCCATGTATAGAGATTATAAAATTAAAACCAAAATGTTGTGCTCAGCATGAATTTGACTGAAATATGGGTAACATCACCAACACAATTGAAGTCTCAAAACTGGATGCTCAGTAACTTTGAGTGACTATAATCCCTTGATTACCCAGATAAACACCAATTCACTTATCCAGAAATACCATTCAATGTCTATTCAAAGAAAGTAATCAATGTTTTGGAAGATATGTTTCAAACTTTTTGCATAAATAATTCATTTAATATTTGTCATTGATTTTTTTTCAATTCTGACAAAGTGATATGCACTGTCTTTGATGCCAATATTCGTCATCAATTGTGATACAAATTGACATTTTTGTAATCTCAGAAGAAGGATAAGATATTGAAGTTTAATAATATGTGTGATTGAGTTGGTTTTTCAGACATTACAATTTTCAATATTTTCTAAGTCGATACCCAGACTCATTCCCAGACTCATCCTTTAGACAATTTCATTGGTTGAATTGCGCATATTAACTAATAAACAACACGTGCGGTAAACTATTATCAACAAAACTTTTACTCAGAATTCCTTCCGCGGTGATTTCTTCTCATATTTCAATAATTTTGAAATATTTTGACAAAATAATGATTGGTGAACATAAAAGAACATATATTTTATAAGTTGTGTGAAAATCAAGTACATCTGTGACAAAAAGGGGGACTATCTTCCCCAAATTTTGGGGATTCCATAATCTGCCCGCCGCAGTGTCTATACCGAGACACTGCATAGGAGTTCGACAATATTCATTTTGTCTAATTTTCAATGTTGTTTAAGATGACAATTAATGGTTGTAATGTCAAAATTCATGAAAAGATAAAACTCGAATACTGAAACTCTGTTGTGTTGGAAATCTCATTGTGTTTTGTTGTATTGAACATACCATGATCTGGTCCTAAGAAACGACACTCTGGAAGAAGTCTAGGATGTAGTGGGTCTACTGTAAGGCTCAGAGAGGCATTGTTACCTGAAATGAATTAAGAAACAATTTGTATCAGACAACACAGGAAAAGATGGAATACAAGAAAAAGGCCAACTGGTTAAGGACTTTTAAACAAGGCATTAACATGACAAAATGTCACCACCTAGTTGCTTATAATATTATGAGTTCAATCTTAAGTCAGATTAGAATTTTTGAGAACTTGTAGATGATTTTGAAAAAAATTGACATTTTGAGAAGGTCATTGAAAGTCAAATCTCAAATCTAAAGTCAGATATGAACCTCTGATAACTTGTACATGATTCTGAAAAAATTGGTCAATTTGAAACTTGGTCAATCAACCTATAGTCAGATTTGAACTTTAGAGAACTTGAAGATGACTTTTGAAGAAAAATTGGTCAATTTGAAGCAAGTTGAAAAAATACCTTTCTGATCTTTTTTGATCTTGAGAAGGTTATTGAAGGTCAAATCTCAAATCTAAAGTAAAATTTGAACTTCTGATAACTTGTAGATGATTTTGAAAAAAAAATTGGACAATTTGCAGACGCCGATAGCCAACCGCCAACCACCAACCGCCATCGATTTGAACTTTTGAGATCTTGAAAAAAAATTGATCAATTCGAAGCAAGTTCAAAAAAACCTTTTTGACTTTTTTTACCTTGAGAAGGTCATTAAATTAAAATTTGGACTTCTCTGTACATGATTTTGAATAAAAAATTGTCCAATTTGAAGCAAGTTGAAAAAATACCTTTTTGACCTTTTTTATATTGAAAAGGTCATTGAAGGTCAAATCTTGAATATAAAGTCAGATTTGAACTTCTGAAAACTTGTACATGATTTTTAAAAAATTGGAATCAGTCTAAACAGTATTTGTTAAGTTATTGGAAGTTGTGAGAATTTGTTACAGACGCTGATCGCCAACTACCAACCTTACCGCCGTCAAAAAATAACAATAACAATATGTCACCACTTTTTGGTGGTGACATAATAACATAATCAAATATACCATACTATTCAAAATATATCAATTGAGATATTTATAGGATATCCTATGATTTTGAGGAATATCATTTTTATCTACGAGGTGATATTGATATCTGCACGAGAGAGCAAAGCGAACAAGTGCATATATCAATATCACCGAGTAGATTAAAATGATATTCTGAAAACAATCATAGGATGTTCTTATTATCCTACACTTACAAGAAGTGTACTAAATGTATAATTTCATTGCAAAATGAATTTCATGCCAAATAGTGTCAATTTGGCGGGAAGAATCAACAAGCGGAGTACATGTATATCGTCACTATATCCTCCGTATTTTGGGTTTTCCGGAGTATATCGTCACGATATCATCCGCCCAATAAATATCAAATATATTTTATAATGTTATTATACATTTAGTACACTAAGTGTTGGATAATAAATAATATGTAATGTACTTTGCTGAAAAGTCATACCACATGCAATTCTCCTATAAACTGCACTGCGAGTTGGTCGTTCTGGTTCTAGTATCCATGTGTTTTTATCCACTTCATCTAGATCATCCCAGAATTCACTAAAATGTTCCAGCTGCAGTATAAACTGGTTATAGATGTCCTTAAGGCAGGCATTTTGGTTCCAATGGGGAGTAAAGGATATTGGAAGATCAAATGTACATCTTGGGGCTTCAACAGGGTACTGAAATAATAATTAAATTATATCAGGTGTCCCAAAAAATGACACTTTTTGACAAGTGTTTTCTCAGAAACTGATGAACCAAACTTTTGGAAAGTTTGTACAATGTAGCCTAGGGGTATCGTTAACAAGGTACAGAAATATGGAAAAGATCAAGTAAATGGTATGTGAGTACTATAGTATATACTAAGAAATTCAAGATAGCATGTCAAAATATCCCATACTGGAGCAATGCAATGAGAATTTCATAGCATTTGTTCTCACGGAATATTTACCTGATCTTTTTAATATTTTTACAACTTGCTCATGATACTCTTAGGCTACATTGTACAAATTTTCAGTGAATTTGGTTGATCAGTTGCCAAAAAAATACTTGGCAAAAAGCGTCTCATTTTTTTGGGACACCCGATATATATGACTTGGCCCACAAGAAGAGGTACAATGTATACTTTCAATCAAAGGGCCAACCATTTTTGAAATTTAGTTAGATATAACATACAGGGTGTGCCAAAAAATTTTGCAACTTTTTTAAAAGGCTAGAAAAATATCATAACAGGTATTTGCATAAAAAAATGATTTACAGAAACTTAAGGATAGGCATATTTTACCATTCAAATGCTAAAGCTAAAACTGACTAGTTAATGTTGCTAACCTAAAATAGTCAACTTATAATTATGAAATTAAAAATGTTCAAAAGTGGTTGCCATCTTAAAACCAGTCTACTTTGGAGCAGAACATACTTTATATTCCCATTGTATATGCAATGAATTGCAAAGAACTCTAGGCAGCTAGATGAATGGACAGAGCTGAGCCCTCATTATCCGGTCAGCGCTAAATTAGCGTTGCGATTTGCGTTGCGCTTGCGAATCAACATTATTCGCAAGCGCAAATCATGGTTTGCGTCGTATTACGCGCTTCACGCAAACGCAGACGCAACGCAGACGCAACAGTATGCTAATCGCAAATAAATTGGAAACGCGGGAAATTTAAACTTAGAGCTCAAAATAGACATATTGGGATTTTGCTCCATGAGGTCCGTGGGGCTTCATTGGACTCTGATTTTGCCCCATCTTGCCTCATTGAGTCCCATGAGGTCACATGAGGTACCGCGTGGGACCAGGTGGGATTCGATGGGGCAAAATTCGACGTATTCCAATGGGCCAAGGTGGGATTTGATGGGACTCCGTAGGGCTTGATTCGGCATGATGGGGACTCAATGGGGCAAAGTCATCAAGTTCCCATGGAACACCGTCGTTATTCGATGGGAAAGTTGGAACTCAATGGGGCAAGTGGGATTTTTTCCCCATTGGTGTATACTTGACTTAATATATTAGCCCGTCAGAAACACGCTGAAACACGCCCAAGTATGGTATAATTAGTTTTATCCATTTAAATCTCAAGGATGTAAAAATATTTATCCCATACTTGGACGTGTTATAGGTACATAAAGCTGGTTTGTAAAAACTTTTATTCCATACTTAGTAGTGTTATAGGTATATAACATGCGGGAATATAACTGATATGTGACGTGAGCGGGAGATATACGTATTTATCCCATGGTTACAAGGATATAGATCGAATATCACGTGAAGATATAATTGATACGTGGATGAAGATATCATATTTTAGCAAACAATTCCCAAACCATCGAATATCACCTTTGAAACCATCGAATATCACTTTTTGAAAGGTGATATTCGATGGTTTAAAAGTGATATTCGATGGTTTCAAAAGTGATATTCGATGGTTTTGATTTTTACAATTTTTTAAAAATAATTTAGCAGAACGAATCTTTATATTTTTTGGGATCTAGTTTTTACGGCGTTCGCATTAAAAACAAACCACCCTGTTACGACATTTACATATTGTTACGTCATAATATTTTGTGTGAGTATTTTATTGTTGTGAATATTAATGTTGAAATAAATCTTGTTGGAATTCATCTGACTATTCTATGTTTGCTGGATGATAATTCCTCATGGGATAAACGGACAATCCTATGGTTTTTCAAAAATATCACTTATATCCACTCGTGGATATCAGTAACTTCACTCATTCGCTGCGCTCACTCGCGAAGATATCAATATCCACTCATGGATATAAGTGATATTTTTTCAAAGCCATAGGATATTCCTATAATATCTCCCGCTCAGCAGATCTACGACGTCATAAATTCAGGGAGTAGATACTGAGCCAGGGGACTTTGCTATTATTCCTCACAATCATAGAATAAATCAGTTATTAAATGCTCGATTTTTGATACAGGGTATATCCCTCGGTAAATACAATATATCAACCCTCGGTCCCTACGGTCCCTCGGGTTGATATATTGTATTTCCCTCAGATATACCCTGTATCAAAAACCTCCCATTAAATAACCTATATATATTTTCATCAGCGGTCAGATATAGCTATACGTCCCGCTCTGAGCGGGCAGATATAGTATATCTGCCCGCTGACGTCATAATCGCCGTTCGCATATTGGTTCATTTTTGTAACATGCGCATAATTACTGTAAACGTTAATGGAGAAAAGGCAGACAATCGCGATCTGTTTGAAGGAAGGAAATGAGCGTATGTATCCCTGTTAAACAAGGATTTCAGAAATAAATAGTCGGTTCATGATATTGGGATTAAATAAATGTGGATGAATATCTGAAAATCAGGCTATTCTAAATGAATTCTTACGGTTTGTTGGACATTTTCTGAACTCCGGCCAATTGAACAGCGTGAACAAAATGACCAAGATTGGTATGGGATAAACAGATCATCCTATAGTTCAATATCCTGAACCTCATATAGGATAATCTCTATTTATCCCATGATACTACTAATTCCCGATGAATAACCGGGAATATTTTTGATATTGAGAAAAAATCGTATTGAAAATTTTTGCCAAACAAAGCTTCCTCTTTCAATCAGTTGGGTCGATATAGCATGCTAAAATGATGTTCTTATGTGAAAAACGAATTCCAGTTTTATCATCATCGCTCTGACACAGACAAAAATGCGTACGTATTGCTGAATGTTTTGATGTTGATGTGTTTATGTTACACATGTACAATAATTTTTTTATATTTAAAAATATCATAAAGCTAACTCATATTTTCTTGATTAAATATACCATTTTTTCATAGAAAAATCGAACTAATGATTTTATGAAGACAGTTATGAATATCATGGAATAAAAAGCTAATTTACTGGTCGGGATTAAATATGGGTTTATTCCTCATGACAATTTGATATTTCACATATTGTGAGGGACAATTTGGTATTTCCCTCTGACCCTCCGGGCTCTCGGTAAATATCATATTGTCCATCATAATAAAACCCATATTGAATCCCTCCCACCTATATATATCTTGCGAAAATCTAGATCTGTCACTGGAAGGTAGCCCATCTTGAAAACAAGACACGGTGTCTTTGTAATTAGTCCGACTGATATAGCCTACCCAGAGAAAACCGCCGATACCTCAGCAACAATGTTCGCAACAGTAGGTTGGGATACCCCGAATATATCTCCATTTATTATTTACATACAACCTGTAGCATAAAATCGTAATGAAATGAATACTTTTAGCTGACATGGAATTGCCTGAGGATTCCTTGTTCTTGACGCTAGATCCCCATCTAATATATTAATCAACTCAAGAATGAGTGGCCTCGGCATGCGATATCTGTTTAATATCTCATCGTCAGTCATCTCTAACGGCTGACTCCTGTCTCTGAATAAGCGTAAACCTCTTCTATTGTGAACATCTTGGAATAATATGCGCCACATTTTCCAGCTTGATCGAACCCTAATATTTTAATTCTAGCAGACGATATTTGCGAAATGGAATTGCGATATTTATTATAGATTTCACAAAACCAAGGTAGCATAATCGTGCACTTTCAGACTTGATTTTGATAAGTTTTGGTTATTTGTGTCTCTAATGTTTTTCAACCTATTTTTAGTTGGATGTCTCAAAGGGCACTTCCTAGATTTCTACAACGATAATGTTAATTTAAATAGGAAAACTATCAAGATTCTTGATGATATGTTTGCGATTTATATTGCGGCAGGGTCAGGGATGCCGCAAATAAAGTGGAGTTTGCGACATAAAAATCAACTGATTTACGTGGACGCAACTGTGCGATGACTGCATAATACCAATTTGCGTGCGATTAGCAGTGTATTTGCGATGCGAAATTTAAATAGCGATGCGTCTACCGTGTAATAAGAAAACTGCGATTTGCGCTAAAGACGCAAAACGGCAATGAATTTGCGCTAGAGTGCCTTTGAGATGACCTCATAATATCGTTTTGCGTACGATTCGCTAAATATTTACGTTGCGATTGCGATTTGCGGTGCGTTGACCGGATAATGAGGCCTCTGTTCTCTATTTCCTAGAACTAAATGGAAAAAAGGTATGTCTTTGATTACCTGATTTGTTAATTCTATTTTAAAAGTGTGTTCCCTCATGGCATTATCTTTTGCAGTTAATTGCAGAACTCGAAATTCTGTATCCACACTTGTCAATCTACAATGTAAACCATCTTTAATGTTATCTCGTCATATTATAAATCTTAGTGTTTTTACATGTGATATGTCTTACTTTATATTCCCCTATATTATGTATTTTTCAGTTACTGCCATACTGTATTTTGGTGAGTTATACCTCATTGGTATATTTTACACTCAAAGAAAGAGGTATATAAACCAAGGAGCCATTATGTGTTCTTTTATGTGCATGATACTGACATACCACAGCATATTATATGACTTATGGACCACACTCTTAAGATTTTGACAATGCTTATATATTATTTGGACATATTTATAATTTATCATTTCAAAAAGAGACATTTCAACTGCAATTATCACTACAGGTTGGTCCAAAAAACTGGAACACTTGTTAATTTGATAATCCTTACTTGTCCCACCCCAATTCTTCAATATCTGTGACAATTCTGTCATAATAGGATGGTGACTGCTTCACTGCTCTCTTGAAGTGCATCAACTCCAACTGTCTTTCCTAAATCAATTCATTAAAATCATCGGTTTCCAAAATAGATGTCACTTCAGATTATTAAGTTTCAAAATTGCAATAGCGTCAATACAAATGAACAACAGGTGAATTTATACTTAATCTTAGATTATTTTTCTTTGCATAATTAAGTGACAAATCACATGAGAACAGTCAAAAAATAAGCCATTTAAAATGATAGTACAATATGGGAGAGTGTACGGAAATACTCACAATGATAGTTTTCAGCTCAACTAGAAACCCAGCTAAAGTGTTGCTATGGTGAAGTCTCTAAAAATAGACATGGTCTTGCTATCTTAATCTCATATTGAAATCATTAAACCCGAGAAAGAGACAAGATGGTCTTTATCAATGTAATTTTTTATATGTTATCATTGTTATCATTTTATATTTTTAATTAGTTTATTTTTTAATTTCGTTTTAATTAGTTTGTTGCATGTTCCATTCATGTACAGTGAAAGCTCTAAAGTGGAATCCCTCAAGAAGTGGAACATGTCCCAAGTGGAAGACTTTTTATGAGTACCAAAAGTGTTCCATTTAGACAGGTTTTACTATTTACATACTAATAATGATGATTTGACGCAAATCAACTCAAGTTGTGGGTCATGGAAGATTTGTTCTTGGTTAAAATAATAATACAAAATCTTGTATTCTCATAGCCGTAGGGACCGGGGGTTCGATGGGTTCGGACGAACCCCCGGTCGGGATTTCTCCCAAAAAAATATTTGTGGAAAATTCATTGCAATAACCAGAAACATATATTCAATTTATATGACTAGTAGGAAAAAATAGTGAAGGAAGAGGTGCGATTATTGGCAAAATGGTCAAAATTATGGTCAAAATGAATCATTCTTAGGTGTAACATGAAGAATAGAATGTCATATAATACTTTGGAAAATATTAAAGTGCTCGGGCACACATAAGCTGAGATAGGGATCATTTCGTTCAATAAGGTTATATTGACTTACATGGGGCTGTGCACCATTGATTTAACATGAGGATATCAGCAGATCCCAACAGAGGTCATTGGTTTCCATTCATTATCACAGAAATACCAAAAATACACTATGACCTGAATCGATTGCAAACTTTATAATTAAACAATATGACACAAATGGTTCATTTCATCAAATGTGCAAATATGAAGTTTGCAATCGATTCAGGTCATACTTTTATTAAATTAAAAGATTGTACATTTTTTCGTCATTTTTTCCCTACAAAATGGCTATAAAAAATGCTCCAAAAACATATTTTACACTTATCAAATATCATAAAACCTTGCAAATCAAAGATTATAATATCATATTTCATTATTTAGTATCATATTTGGATATTATAAGATGTAGGGCAGGGATGCCTAAGGTGCAAATGGATTTTGATAGACACAAAAATACTTCCTGGTTTGAAATCTACACCTACACAGGGGGGGGGGGGAGATTTCCCAAAGATGACCTTTCATATTGGCACATTCGAAAACAAATTTTATAGACAGGCCTCATTTGCCATTGAACTGAATATCCCAATCGCGTTAGTTTTATGAGTATTCTCTACAAGTTTGGATCGAGTAACTTCAATAGTATTACCGTAGGTTTAAAATGAAGATATTGAACTGACTCACAACTTATTTTCCAACTTAAAAGCTGCTCCATAGTGAAATAAACCAACTGTCTAATACTGATGAAAACACTTTTTTTCAAATCTGTGCCCCTCCGTTTTGTTTTATTTCAAACAAAAAAATTCTTGCTAAGTCTCCGGGGCTGATTAGTCCTCAAAAGCAAATATTAAATAATAGAAGCATTTTGAAATGAGTTATTGTTAAAAGCATATGTACAAGCATTTCATCGAATGGGTATTTATTATCCATCACTTTTTAAGGAAAAATAAATCCATTGCGAAAAAAATCAGTTTTGTTTTTGCAGATGCACGTTCATCTCGGAGATCATTTTAAGATTAAATTGTTGCTGTTTCAGTGTATTTAGTGTTTACTCTATTTTCAAGAATATCAAACTTTAGTGGATCGTGTTATTGTCATTAATTATATATGTTTAGCAAATAAATGGATTAAGGGAGGCAATTAGGTGAGTATGTCTCTGGTACTAGATACAAGTGTAAGCTAAAAAGGTACACACATTACTTGCAGTGAAAAATTCTGTCACACATATATTTTAATTAGCCACAATACATGCATAGCATTCATCCTCCCAAGTTTTTTGCCGAAAAAATTAAGAAAATTGGTTCATAAAGCGAGACATTAACTCATCAGTGCATGAAAATGGTTCCGAGAAAAATGCATTTCAAAATTTTAGTTCTCATAGAAACAAATGGTACAATGATATCTAAAACATAATATATTCTTCCTTTTAACCTGGTTAGACAATTAGCATTGGTTTATTATTGAAGTCTAGCATATTTAGAAAAGATTGACATCTAAAAAAAAGTTAAATTTTTTTCAAAAAGTTTTTGTTACCTTAGTGACATCACTAATGTTGCAAAATATTTTTGCTAAAACATGGAAGTGGCCCATTAAATATGGCATTTTATTATTGAAATAGAGTGTCCTTTATTCAATCTTTGCATTGGTGTTAAAAAGATAATCTTTTTTGAAATGCATTAAGAAATATTTGATGATTAAAAAATTTCAAAAAATTTCTTTTTCCAAAAATCTCTAAAATAACTTTTTAAGTCATGACAAATAGTAAATGAATGATAAAAAAATATTTTCAAACTTTAGATGGGAACTTTAAGTATTTCGAATGAGTATTTTATTTTCACAGTTAAAGTGCCCGATAAACTATTATATGCGCATGCGTCCAGGTGTTGATAAACTATAAATAGCGAAAATCCAGGGTTTGTCACCACAAGGTAAGCCAGGACGTGTTGAGACAGCTAGTGTTGATATTGAATTTATATGTAGCCAGATAAGTTTCCTTATTGAAATTACATATGGTTATTAGCAATACTTTGTAGGTGCTAAATAATAAAATATTTAGAGTATATATGAGAGAAATTGGTCATTTCGAGCCTGTTGAAAAGTTTGTGGCTCTCGGCTACACCGGGGAATTTACTTCCATGAGTACACACATAAATGTGGGGTTCCCCAAGAGGTACGCGACAAGGTGACCTGGCATCAAATGTGCGACTAAATGCTACTATCGAGAAGATAAAATAACGAATACGACAATAAGTTATTGCATGTGACAATTCCGAGCCTTCATCTCACTGAAGTATTTTGAAGTGAAAATAGGATTTTTGTTTTGATACATGGATTCAGATGAACGTAACTTTATTCTGACAACTAATCAAAACTGAACAAAATTGATTGTACGTAACAGACAATTTTTTGTTTTACAATGTTTTGATTGGCTAAACGAATGACACCAACAAATTATGACATGTAAAATGACAATTTTGAAATGTAAAATTTGAAAGTGACAAACACAACCTCCCTATCCACTCTTTGGGAGCCCTAGTAAATTAGTAATATGGACATGCAGCAGTGGTAGTGTACAGCTTATTATCACACTACGCTTTGTATTCTAAAGCCTGTTGTTTGTAATAACACTGTTCACTCAACGTATGTTTTGTGTGTGGGCAGTCAACGATAATCATTGTTTTATCCCGGTTATATGACCTCGGCAATTATAACAAAACCGTACTAAACGAAAAAACGCAAATAAGAGAAAGCTTTCACACACATATAAAAAATGAACTAGTCTAATTGTAACATTTAACGAGAATTAAACGTTAATAAAATAATGTTCACGGCTTCAGTCCATAATAGTATTACTAAACATAAAATTTGTGTAGATGACACAACTTCTAAGTTTATTTTATCTTCCTTTTAATTGGTATAAGATACATTTTGCATAATTGTTATTTCATCTCGAGCGCTGTTATATATTATGTATCTCAGTATTGTTATTATTTATTATTGTAGCTCATTATTGTAGCTAAAAGCTACTATATTCAGAATCACATCTTCATGATTATAACATTGTCCTAAGAAGCTTGTATGATATTCTTAATCGGTATGAACTATCCTATTCAAAATCACATCTTCAAATTCTTCATGATGATTATATTGTCCCGAGAAGCTTGTATGATATTTTTAAAAGCTAATAGCTATTCTGTTATTTAAAAGTCATACATCAGTATATATACAGTTCTTGGAGTTCTTGGAATAAGGGCGGATCTCAATTTAAATAGGTTGATCTGATTGGATAGAGATTTTTGGGGACAGTTTAATTTATGGGGCACTACCCTTGCCTCTCCTGTAAACACGTGTCTGCATTGGCAAACAAAGGAATGTGTACAGTGATCACTTTAATTGCTGCAGTGAGGGGGGTGAATATAATCTATTCCTGTAGTCAGAAATAAATGTTTCTCCAGGAACTATCGATACACATCAGATCAAAGTTAGTTACAACATCTAATTACATTTACATGATTAATAAACAATGCATATTCAAGCATTTAAAAATACATATTTAGTTGCACTAAACTACATCCATCATAAAATATTCTTTGTCTGTGGGTGGGATGATTTCACCAAGGAGAGAATTCTCACAGATGTACATTTGCACCTTTGGACAATAGCAGTATATTTGTCTTCCAATAAACAAAGGCTTTATAATTAAATATTTCAGAGTGGCATCCAAACTGATAAAATTGATAGTGAACAAAATATGAAATGTCAGCCTCATTTGATTTGTAGCAATTAATAAATTCAAGTGAAAGAGTAAATCTGAACAACATGCTACTGAGCGTGTGAATTTAATATTCAGCTCTGTTTTACAAACATTAGAATCTTTATGACAAAGTGCTATAATGGTCAGAGCATTGAATTCAGATTTGCGTGCATTGATTTATGAACTGGGAATTTCAAAGAATTTATGAAACCAACACTTGTATTTGACTCCACTAAAATAGTGAACATTTAATTATGACCCAGTCCAAACATTTTTGACTTCTCTAAAATATAAATATAAAACAGAAATAGTGCATTTCTGTTACACTGCTCCCCCCTTGGTTTGATCGTCCCGATCAAAAACATAAACTGTACAATGTTCTTAAACATAAAAAATCTACCACCATTACAACATACAACATAAAAGTGCAAAGACAAATGTTCACCAGTGTCTAACCAACCCTTAAGGTGGTTGGAAGGCAGGTGGGTAATGATATCCATGGTTTGATTCAAGTATCAAAATATTGGCTGCATCATTGGCCAATACAGACTTATGTTTTGATAAGTCTATGTGAACACTTCCTACTACGCAATCAGTTATCAATAAAGGGGTATCCCCATATATATTATGTACTCCATGCATTATAACTTCAGTGTTAGCTGAAGGTTCTGTAATCTGATTATCAAAACAAAATCCTACGTGATGTTTTGATTTATTTTTGGGTCCATCATTCTCTATATTAGCTGACCCCCGACCCCCAGGCTCAGCTATTGCTCGTTTCCCGACCTCCAATTCTGATTCAAATTTCTTGGTGATGAACCCTCTATTATGGGCTTGGGACACTCTGCTATAACATGCCCATACTGGGTACAGTTAAAACATTTGATACGATGATTATGAGGTTTGGGATAATTATATGCGAAGGCTGCTAAATTACTCTGCGTTGGAATAGGATCAGATTTTGGGAGATGTCTTTCATCAGTATATGAGGCAAGATGCTCCATTGCCTGACAAAATGTATTTTTAAGTTCTTTGAATTCTAGTACTATTTGGCCCATCTGGGTATCAATAATGGGATCTTCTTGCGCCTGCATGCTTTCTAGGCCTTTTTGATGATCATCGGTTCCATAATCGGACTCATATTCCAATCCAACGCCTACTGCTTCATCTATATCATGGGGGTTCCGATTCTTGATGTATTTCCTCATATCTGTGTCCTCAAGGGCATTATAAAATTGATTTAACGCTATATCCATACGTAGTTCATATGGCCACTTCGAGTAGGCCCTGTTCGATAACCTTTTGATATCCTGCCCCAATTGTGATAATGTTTCATTAGGATTCTTCCTTCTGGCCTCAAGTAAATTAAGGAAGGTGTCGCCTTGGCTTGCTGGGTCAAAACGCTGTTCCAAATGATGTACAATGGATTCAAAATCCTCACGTTCACTACCAGGCATATCAGTGAGTACAGATAAGGCATCACCCTTAACAGCACAACTCAGTTCCAAGGCCATTTCATCATAGCTCCAACCATTGGCCTTGCTCACAACCCTAAAGTGAGTTTTGTAGTCAAGCCAGTCTCCACTGCCATCATAGCGGTCAACCGGCCTAACAGATTGATTTCTAAAAATTCTTCTTTTAGCGTCTGAGAGTTTATTAACAAGTTCTGCATTCTCCCGAACTAATCTAGCTATTTCAAAGTCTTTCGATTTAATAATCCGCTCCAAATCCATTTGATATTTTAAGAATTTAATTTTGTCTATGTTTCTTTCAAATGTTCTTATTCATAGAAAATACTAATATTGTCCTCATTTGTTATTGTTCAGGTCATTCATAGACCTTATTTCTATTTCTATTTATTTAAGATGCAACAGGCATATTTGCCCACAATGCAAATTTCTCCTTAAATGTTTATGTGAATGTAATTCATTTGAAAAGTCATTGAACTGCTGTCCGTGTGGTCAACTGGTCAAATTCATTCATAAAGTTTTGCGTCAGTGGTTTTATAAAGGTGCATAAATAGAGACTTCTCTCGTGTAAATTGTATTGGAGAATCCATATAACTCACACATCATTGTCTGTAGTATCTCAACAGAATATTTAATGGTCCTTTGTTTGATGCCTTCCTCGTATAAAAATCGTCAGGTAAGAGAATAGAAAAGTATATTCCATTCTTTCCGGCCCGGACGCACCAATGTAACATTTAACGAGAATTAAACGTTAATAAAATAATGTTCACGGCTTCAGTCCATAATAGTATTACTAAACATAAAATTTGTGTAGATGACACAACTTCTAAGTTTATTTTATCTTCCTTTTAATTGGTATAAGATACATTTTGCATAATTGTTATTTCATCTCGAGCGCTGTTATATATTATGTATCTCAGTATTGTTATTATTTATTATTGTAGCTCATTATTGTAGCTAAAAGCTACTATATTCAGAATCACATCTTCATGATTATAACATTGTCCTAAGAAGCTTGTATGATATTCTTAATCGGTATGAACTATCCTATTCAAAATCACATCTTCAAATTCTTCATGATGATTATATTGTCCCGAGAAGCTTGTATGATATTTTTAAAAGCTAATAGCTATTCTGTTATTTAAAAGTCATACATCAGTATATATACAGTTCTTGGAGTTCTTGGAATAAGGGCGGATCTCAATTTAAATAGGTTGATCTGATTGGATAGAGATTTTTGGGGACAGTTTAATTTATGGGGCACTACCCTTGCCTCTCCTGTAAACACGTGTCTGCATTGGCAAACAAAGGAATGTGTACAGTGATCACTTTAATTGCTGCAGTGAGGGGGGTGAATATAATCTATTCCTGTAGTCAGAAATAAATGTTTCTCCAGGAACTATCGATACACATCAGATCAAAGTTAGTTACAACATCTAATTACATTTACATGATTAATAAACAATGCATATTCAAGCATTTAAAAATACATATTTAGTTGCACTAAACTACATCCATCATAAAATATTCTTTGTCTGTGGGTGGGATGATTTCACCAAGGAGAGAATTCTCACAGATGTACATTTGCACCTTTGGACAATAGCAGTATATTTGTCTTCCAATAAACAAAGGCTTTATAATTAAATATTTCAGAGTGGCATCCAAACTGATAAAATTGATAGTGAACAAAATATGAAATGTCAGCCTCATTTGATTTGTAGCAATTAATAAATTCAAGTGAAAGAGTAAATCTGAACAACATGCTACTGAGCGTGTGAATTTAATATTCAGCTCTGTTTTACAAACATTAGAATCTTTATGACAAAGTGCTATAATGGTCAGAGCATTGAATTCAGATTTGCGTGCATTGATTTATGAACTGGGAATTTCAAAGAATTTATGAAACCAACACTTGTATTTGACTCCACTAAAATAGTGAACATTTAATTATGACCCAGTCCAAACATTTTTGACTTCTCTAAAATATAAATATAAAACAGAAATAGTGCATTTCTGTTACATAATCCGCCAGTATAAACTCTGTGCTTTACGTAGCCGGGTCAGGCGCGCACTTTAAGGGAAAAAAGTTCATCATAAAAATATTAGAAAAATCACGTGATGTACCATTGCTTCCTGATAATCACTTTTTATTTTCTAAAAACTGATCCACTGATAATTGCCAACAGATTATCGAGATTTTTAAACTTCAAAGACCTTATTACAGATGGCCTGCGGTTGAATCTAATCTACTAATTAAATAAAGAGCCCATTGGTTCCTCTTGGTTTACATTGGAATGACGATTTTCAAAAATTCATATTTAGATGAAAGGGAAATTGGGAAAATTTGGAGGCATTGGAAATGAAGTCAAGTTACATTTTCATCAATATTATAAGTATTTTCTTCGCAGGTTATGTAAATAAAAATTCAAATATAAAGAGGAGGCAGGGAGCTAAGGTTGCCAAACTTTTGGAGGAAGTGTATTTGCCAGAAAGACGAGAGGATTAGCCTACCACAAGTTTCAAATGGTGTGTCTAAAAAGGATTTGACAAGTTCATCTAAAATGTTTTCTTTTCTCAAAACGTTCATGATTCTCGTCATTAATGATAAAAACAGCGGAACAGTGATAGAAAATGGAATGTTTTCAAAGTTTTTATTTTCAATTCGAAGAAAGCACAACAAATAAGTTTTTCAGCATTAGTTGTTCCTTTATTTGTTACAAGGCATTGAAATTTAAAAGAGATGTTTAATGTTAGAGCCTACAGAGCACAGTGGATATTTTGTTATTTCAATTTGTTGTTTTTTTAATTTCAGCCTATGTTTCATTCCATTAATACAATACTATTTTTCATCTGTCACTTCTATCGTCAACACCAATTGAGAGTATTTGTGCAGCCATTACGACTTTTATTGTGCGCCATAATAAAATAAGTATTAAAAAAAATATGTTCCTTAGAGATATGTTGTAATTTGCCCTTAACAAAAGTTGTCTCAATGTATGCCAACCCTTGATTTGGATTTCATTGAACAATTGTTATATAAAATGTATGATTTTGCTACCAGATTTAAATATCTTTCAGTAAAAGATTCTATTCAAAAACTATTTCAATATAGAAAATCAAATTGTTGCCAGACTTTTGGAGGGGTGTAAATTGTATGTATGACAAATACAAAAAAAAAGCTTTTATGTGAGGTACACCGATGAAGGGGGAGATTTGTGGATACATAAAAAATTGAACCCCTGGTCACCAATTGCTGGCTACGCCACTGATTCTTGTTTATGTATTGTAGCCACCACAAGCCAAAGCTTGATCAAAATTGAAAGGTGTGTTGTGTTGTGTAACATGCCATATGTAACATAACATACAGAATAGAATGTATAGTATAAACTTTTTTTTTAATCTTAGATTTGTAATATTCTAGAAATTGATACATGTTGCTCTTTCCCTTTGATCCCTGCATTACTTTAGATTCCTACCTGTGTGATGATGTTTCTATGGCAATGCAGTAGCTGGGACAACTGCCAATCACAGGTGAAGCGAGCATCCTTTAACACACCTGGCAATTTCAGCTGGATTTCAATCTTAAATTGTCGTTCCTGAAGAAAGAAATAAGAATTAAGATACACGAAACTATAAATAAGACACAAGAAACTATAAATAAGATACATGAATCTATAAATTGACACATATGATGAACAATATTAAGTCTCCAATGAGGTACCAGTTTATATCTTTTATCAATAATCAATAATAAGAATTTCATGAAAATTGAAGCAAATACAATGAGTGAAGAAAAAACATTTGAAATGGCCATCAGAAACACAATGAAAATGTTTTTGCTTTTCCCTGACTCTTTCCTGATAATGAACCTTGTGAAATCAAAATATCAACAAGGACCAAGAAACTCCCATGATCATTACTATGAAAATGATATTGCCATCAGTTTGACAACAAAACCTAAATGTGTGTTGTGAGGTAGAAATTCTGTTCACAATCGAGGCATCTTGTTTATTGTAACAGTAAAGAAATCTTTTCCTTGTATGACGAAAATTTCTAGGTTCTTCATCTTTTATTTTATCAGAAATCTCAATTCTTTTTCACAAAATAAATTAAAAATTGAAAAATAAACAGTTGCATCACTTTTTGAAACTAGAAAAACAGCAACTCCACGGAGTAGCAAATCCCACCGAACAGCCACCTTGGAAATTTCTTCTCAAGCAGAGCTCCTTTATCTATAGGCATTAGTATATAAAATTTGAAGTAAATCCGTCCAATGGTATTTGAGTTATCAAAGATTACCTTTTTTATGAAAAATGGCAGCCATTTTGAAATTCAGCTGACCCCTTTGAAATTTCTTCTGAAGCAGATCTCCTATTTCCCTAAACATCTGGATATAAAATTGGAACCAAATCCATTCACTGGTATTTTAGTTATCAATGATTATGTTTTTTTAACGAAAAATGGCGGCCATTTTGAAATTTAGCTGCCATCTTGAAAATCCCTTCTCGAACAGAGCTCCTATGTCCCTAGGCATCATTTTGAAATATGGCGGCCATCTTGAAAATGTCTTCTTCAGCAGGGCTCCTTTGTACCCGGACAACAGCATATAAAATTTGAACCAAATCCATCCACTAGTATTTGAGTAATCAAAGATTATATTTTTTCCGAAAAATGGCCGCCATTTTGAATTTAGCAGCCATATTAAAAATTCCTTCTCGAGCAGAGGTCCTACACCCATAAGGCATAAGCCTATAAAATTTGAATGAAATCCGTTAACCGGTATTTGAGTTATTGCCCGGACACACGAACGGACGGACGGACGAAAGGACGGACGGACGAACGGACGGACGGACGGCTTTTCTATATCCCCCTCGAACTCCGTTCGGTGGGATAACTACATGTACTGTCCCCAATATTTTTTACCAGTTCATATTATTCTTATACAAGGCATTTTAACATTACAAAACTTCTCCACCAAATTGACTATTGCAAATGGTTATAAAAGTGTAACAATAGTTACAGAACCAAACCTTGGGGACCTCAAACAGTTACAAAAATGATTTATTTCCATGGTAACATATATTCATTGCCATGGTAACTGAAACTGCTAAAAATATTTTAAAAGTTGTAATATTTCAAAATGTGTTGACAATAAAAATTTCAGGTCTATATGTGAACACTACTTCTTTGAAATGTTACAAGTCCACTTATTTGTTGTCATGGTAACAGATAGAGGCAGAAATAGTGAACTCATAGCATGTTCACATTTGTTCAAAGTAAAAGTTTCAAGTCATTCTATACAGTACTTGTTAAGTTATTGGAATTTGTAAGAATTAGTTACAGAAACAAAATCCTGTACAAAATGTTACTAATTATAGCAAAACCTGTCTTGGTGAATATCTCTCTCTAGTGAACACCTGTGTTTAGTGAACACCACTTCAAGACAAATTTTATATAGACTCCTGTATAGTGTAAAGTGAACATCTACCTACAGTGAACACTTTTTTTGTGGCTCCATAGGTGTTCCTATACAGATTTGACTGTATTTGTTATTATTATACGAAGTATAGTTTTCGTTTTTGTGGAATATTATTGTTTAATCTAAAGTCTTCATACATGTACTTCAAAGTACATTCCAGACCCTGTCTTTGGTATTTTCAATGTACAGGGGGGCAACAAATGTCCATTTTTTTATTTGGAGATGAATTTTTCAAAAATACATCAACTGTGAATTTCCAAATATCTCCAAATATAAAATATGGATGTTTCTTGGGTCCAATCTGTATCTCCTATACTAGCATTGTACTAGGATTGCACAATCGAACATATCCAGTACAGTAAAACCTGTCTTAGAGAACACCTCTCTCTAGTGAACACATGTCTAGTAGACACCCTTCCTCTGCACATACTCTACTGTCTTCTGTATAAATTACTCTCTCTGTAATGTACACCTACCAACACTGAACATTTTTCTCTGAAAAAAATTGTCAATATACATGAACACAGGTGTTACTGTATATATAACATTGATTATAAGCACTTACCAGGACATTAATGAAGCCTTTATAATAAGTCTTTGAAGCATTAAGTGGTAGGAGGTGAGGACAGACACTTAATACATCCATTTGTACTGTATGTTAACTATCAGCTCCAATTCATCTAAGTTGTCACAGCTAAACACTCTCCTTAGACAGAGGTACTGTACATCACTTGCTAGATTTGCCCTAACTGCTCCCCTAGAAATAAAGAAAAGAATGCATTTCTTCATTCATTACCAAAGTGAGGTTACAATTGGTTTCATTGTATGTTGTAATCTATTTTTTGGTAATGCTTGTAATGTTCGAGTCGTACTAATATATCGAAGAAATTGGAAGTAACCTCACTTTGATAATGCTTGGAATGTACTCGGAAATAATTTCTGAAGTTGGTGGTGGACATTTTGAAATACTGGCAAATTTAAAGATTAAAGTGTATAAACTCTGCAATATGAGAGAGTTTATCAAAGTCTTCTTTATCAATTATGCATCTTGGACGCCGATTGTTACTTTTACTGGTTATTTTCCAGCTTCCATGTTATTTCAATGGGAGTTTTTATCAAAAATTTATAAAAGTGCTGCCAATTCTGATAAATCCTTTTTGCCTGAAGCCCAAGACATTTTAACCTTATTGCTAATATGGAGATAATTTCACTTTACAAAACTCAGCCCTCGATGTTCCTACCCTTAGATATTTGGGATAGTTTATGATGGTTGTCAAGGATACGCAAATTCTGAATGATAACCCAATTAACATTTAAAGTTCATGTCAGGTAATACTGTACTCAGTTTCAAACTGACTGAAGTTCAATATATCATTAATTATGTAAGTGAAATTTAGTATGAAATATGAAGAACATTTCATATTGTACATTGCATTTACATGTAAATATGTAAAATGTATTGGTCAATTAAAGTTTAAAACAATCCAAGAAACAAAGAACAATCTCCAGTGAATGCACATTAGTCATATTACGCATTGATATGCTCGAACTCGAAAAGGCATTTACCTGTCAAAATGTCACAATTTTTTATAGGAGGACAGAAAGTATCCAAACAGATTTCAGACAGTCATATATTGGATTTTGGCTATTTTCTGAGGATTTAAACCGATTCATATGTTAAGCCAATGCATTATCTCCAGGAAAAGCAGTCATAAAGTTGATAAAATAATTTTGACTTTGAGACAGCGAAGATGCATACAACCCACCCACATGTTCTGAAATGTTGTCCTGATTTTCAACCCCTTCCACCCCTGCTTTTTCCATTTTTGTTGCATTTTGACACACAGTTAACCCCTTTAAAGTCCCCGTCTAAAGTTTGAAAATATTTTTTTTATCATTCATTTACTATTTGTCAGGACTTAAAAAGTGATTTTAGAGATTTTTGAACAAAAAATTCTTTTTGAAAAAAAAGTTGTGAGCATTTCATTTCTCAAATATTCCTGCCATTTTTCAAAAAAAGTTGAAATTTCTTAATCATCAAATATTTCTTAATGCATTTCAAAAAAGATTATCTTTTTAACACCAATGCAAAGTTTAAACAAAGGACACACTATTTCAATAATAAAATGCCATATTTAATGGGCCACTTCAATGTTTTAGCATATCAAAAATATTTTGAAACATTAGTGATGTCACTAAGGTAGCAAAAACTTTTTGAAAAAAATTGAAATTTTTTTTTTCGATGTCAATCTTAGAAACTGTAAACTACACATATAAAGCTTACTTATTGAAATATCATATGCTAAAAACCATCAGGCAGAGGTTATTTCACATTGACTTCATCCTGCTTACCCTGAGTATTATTCCGGAATAGGGCCTTTTATACTGAATGGTTAGCAACACCACGAATGAGTGTTTGATTTGCTAAACGATATGCATTCCATATTGGAAAGCCCCCTTCTTTTCCCATAATATCAGCCTGTAATATTTGAGTTAAATCACACTGGTTGATTTCAGTTACAGCCAAACACACAAACAGACCAATAGACAGACAGCTTCTCTATACTCCTTTAAAAACTTTGCTTATTGGTAAATACCAAAAAGCTGAATATATTGGAAATACATCAACTAGGTGTGTATTGCTTGTCAGACTAGATTGCTAATAGACACAAAAACAAATTAAAATGTGTGGAACAAGTTTAAAAAAATTGGCATTGACAGTGTGTCTCTTCATAGGAACCACGCTGATTATTGGTAAGTACAATATGTACAAGAACACAAATGTGTACAATATGTCCCCACCAATGGGTGATCACATCAAATGGTTATCCTGAAAATGAGTAGACAAGACTTTACCAACACAATTTGAGGACGGAAAATCCAAAATGGCCACCTTAAAATTTAAGAACTAAGAACCACCCCTGAAAATTTTAAATTGATCCGTCACACAGTTCAATAGAAAACATGTAAACAAGACATTTACACAGAATGCCAAAAAACTAATCAGATGTAGATTTTCACACTAAGAATGATCCCTGAAAATTTGAAATTGATCTACCAAACGGTTTATCTAAAAACGTGTAGACTTTACAGGCATGATTTTAAACGAAAAATCCAAAATGGCTGCCTTGACATTTATCCAGAATGCCAAAAAACTAATCAGATCTAGATTTTCATACTAAGAATCATCCCTGAAAATTTGAAATTGATCTACAGAACGGTTCACCTGGAAATGCGTAGACAAGACTTTACAGACATGATTTTAGGACGGAAAATTCAAAATGGCTGCCTTGACATTTACCCAGAATGCCAAAAAAAATAATCAGTTCTACATTTTCATACTAAGAATCATCCCTGAAAATTTGAAATTGATCTACCAAATAGTTCACCTGAAAACGCGTAGACAAGACTTTACAGACAAGATTTTAGGACGGAAAATCCAAAATGGCTGCCTTGACATTTACCCAGAATGCCAAAAAACTAATCAGATCTAGATTTTCATACTAAAAATCATCCCTGAAAATTTGAAATTGATCCACCAAACGGTTCACCTGAAAACACGTAGACAAGACTTCACAGACAAGATTTTAGGACGGAAAAATCCAAAATGGCCGACAATAAAAAAGTGATTATGAGTATTTGCTGATTTCTTTTTACAAAATTATCACATATAACTACTTTTAATAATAACATAGGCTTTTACAACAAAGTACATCTGCAATTATTTATAAAGCTACAAAATAGTTAAAGTATGAAAACTCAGAAACACCATTCAATATGATACAAAGTATTATCGTGCGCTAACTTTTCTTAAGACATTCAAAATGGCTGACATGACTGAGCTAACAGGTCCAAAACCTAATCAGATCTAGAATGAAGTGAGCTGAACAAGATGTTAAAGTTTTAAAAGCAACTGTGAAGCCGTTTTTCTTAAAGTTTGCAGACAAGGATTTTAGCATTTGACTTCAAAATGGCCGACAGGAAGTAGGTATCGAGTTCAAATTTTTTCATCCACATCTGTATGCACTCATAAGTTATCCCTGAAAATTTGAAGGTGATATCTGTAGCGGTTTTGGAGAAAACTCCCTGACGTACGGACGGACAGACGGACGGACGGACGGACAGACGGACGCGCCTAGGCCGACAATATGGCCCCACACTATGTGGTGGGGACATAATAATAAAAAGGAATAATTATCATAATCTAAATTAAATAAACCAAAATATTACAACATTGAAAAGTATGTATATTTTGTAATATAAAATATTTAAGGTAATATATAGATGGTTAAATATGTTTTTATCATCCATTAATTATTTTTGAAAATTGTTGTCAACTTTTTATTTCTCAAATATTCAAACCATGCCATTTTTTCAAATAAAATCATCGAATATTCCACAATACAGCGCAAAATGCATTACCTTTTATAATTCGAAGATTCAACAAACGATGCATTATTTGCCACTTTAATGTTTTAAAAATTCTTTTCAACATAAGTGACTTCATACTGATGTCACTCAAGTGGCAAACATTTTTTGAAAAAATTCAAAAAATTTCAACGTCAATCTGACCTCTAAAATCTAGTTTTAAATATATTCACAATTTTTTGAACAAAAAGAGCTTCAAAAACCACTTTTTGAAATTAAAAAAAGTTTTACACATCACATTTTTGATAGCAATGGGTAAGTCTAGAACTTTATATGGGTATGATTAAAACTTTATATGGGGGTTTTAACAGAAAGTTTCAATTTTAAGATATTTTTGGCTCATATCATTCTTTGTTATGTCTATTCTCTAAAAATCCCCAATTGCATTCCTTATTTCAGTAATATGTTGAAAAGTTTTAAAATATTATCATTTATTTTATTCATCCTAAATAAAACAAAATATATAAAAATTGCCAGGATAGCTAGCATATTATACTTTAAATGTTATCACAACGAGAAACACTATATAATAAACATCAATACAACGAGATAATAGATTTATTATCCAAATTGAATAATAACTAGTAAGATCAGTTACTGTTGAATAACATTCTGCCCGGGATTTGTTATTAATCATATAGAAATGTCTTATCCGAACAGCTTACATGTACGTATTATCCGTTGCGGCCATTAACAATTTTACATATCTAATTAGCTAAGTAAATAAACATGCGTCGACACAGTCGCATTTGACTATGAAAAGCTCAATCATCAATCTTATTTTTATTTTCTTGATTTAAAGATTTATTATGTTTAAAAAAGAAAATGTTTGATTTTTAAGTTCAACCTTTAATTCTTATTATCAAGAACGTGCATGCAACCATGTACATTGTTTGCAGTCTGAGCAATTTAATGTAAATCATTGTATATTTTTCGATATACTGTAATACTATTCATTATTTGTAAAATTGAACCGAATATAATCTAAAATTAATCAGCTTTAAATACGTTATATGTCATAAAGTTGCCTTAAAACAATACAATTCGTGCGTTTGTAAATGCTCTAAAGCCCCGCTAGTATATGAACGAATCCTAAATAGAAATGAGTAAAATTCGTTCCCATTAGTGTGTACACGTTCTACACCGAGACTTCTCCTTTAAATCAAATCAGTCCACTAGTATGAGTTAAGAATGGACAGAGGGACGGATGGCTTCATTCAATGGGATAATTAAGATATTTCAAAACCAGTGTCATTCTTCTATGCATACATCACTCCAATCATAACATAAAACAAGCTGTTTATTTTAAAACTATTCTTTACGAATCTATGATAAGTGTATAATGTTCAATCATACAAATCGCAGTCAGTGATTGTTCTCCACACTCACCCCTCCCCCTTCCTGACATGAACTATTTTGTAAAACCATTGACAGTGTGGAAAGGATTCTTACACTCGAGAGTCAAGGGGGGGGGGCAGTTACAGAAATATACAAGGCGATGGTTCAGATTGGACAATTTTCAAAACTGCTCAACATGGTGAAAACTTCACGTTTTTAAAGAATGCTTGGCCGGCGAGTGGTTTGCTCTGGATTGCGAGAGAACAAAAACTTTGAGTTAGGATTTTTCCTAATACTATCTATACCATCGCGATAGCCGCGCCCCCTTTGTCTTTTTCCTTCCAAACGGCAGATAAGAGGGGCACTGGCATACCAGAATGTATCTATACTAAACAACTTTTTAAACCGTCTCTGACTACATATCATGCCAATTAATACCATTATTGTGTTGACAGGATTAAATATGATATCTATGGAATTATAATTTAATGAACTCAATAGTCTAAATGATAATAAGTTCATAATTTAGTCTTGGCTGGCTAGTCTTGCACCATCAGAGTTGGATTGCAAATACCTCCCTAAATCAAATATTTAAAATTTACAAATTTACTAGTGTACGGAGTGGGGAAACAAGTCTCCATCCTACCACTAAAGTTTAAAAGGAAGACTATAGTGTCCCGTGAATTCATTATAATTATCTTAGACAATAGTGAAGCGTTACAATCATTGGAGTGTTATTTAATCGGAATGCAAGTTTGATTTAAAATAACTCCTTGGGATCAAATATTTAAATTCTACTAGAATGCGGGGAGTGGAAACAAGTCTCCATTCAAGCACTAAATATCAAAAGAAAGATTTCAGTACCCATTAACTTCACTCCCGGACTTCACTATTCACCACCACCTCTCCCCCTTCCCCAAGTATCCCTTATGACCCCAGAATGTTCGTTTCTGTGCCCCCCCCCTGTCCATGGCCAGTAAGTAATCTATGTGTATATATCTGTATAAAACCAGATGCAGGCATAGACATTGACAAGGTGAGGGGATTTAAATATAAAAATAGTCTTGTTTTTTGCTCCGACTTATATATTTTGGCACTGTTAAACGAAGCCGGTTTAAGGAATGAGAGGCAGAAATAATTCCTAGAAATAAGATGGCCTCATCGCAATAGCCGCGACCCCTTTGTCTTTATCCTTCCACAATCGGCAGATAAGAATGGCTCTGGCATACCAGAATGAGATGGCCTGTCTTTACCGTAATCAAGATATGGTACCTAACCGCAGTTATTTTGGTTTTATAACGGGGATATTGCTCGAGCTTGAATAACAAATAAAAGGCATGTTCTTATTTCTGTATTCTGACCTTTGATTGTGTATTAAGTTGAGCTGCACGCCAAACGTTAAGATTGTTAAAACGCTGAAAATAAAACTTTATTCCTCTCAATTTACATACAAAATGAAACGGATTAGATTCGAATCTCAGTCACACCAGCACCACTGGTCAAAGGAAGTACAAATATCTATATTAATTAAATGTCTGAGAATTTGATAACTGTCTGGGATCCAATGTTAATTTTATTGAAGCAAACTAAGAAAAGATGATTTTTAAACGTTTAGAGGGAAAAGTCAAATATGCATTGTAACCCTAAAAATAATTCATTAAAGTGTCGTACACATTTTATAACTTTTATATAAATAAAACAAATAAAGCACAACCCTAATGCCCTATAATGAACTCACATCGGCGCTAAACAGCCCTTGCAATAAAAACGCATCGAAGCAGGGAATGCTTGGAAAATTCTTCCGAGACTGACTTTTGTTATGTCAAAATTGAAATATGCCTAATTCCTATGAACACGCGATCTTTTTCCCTGGGTTTTACTCTATTTTAGATTTACTAGAAAAATGTTTATATGATGATGGCGCTTGCTTCTCACGAGTTCATTGAAACGTTCAGTCGTAAAACTTTAGAGATCAAAAGACTAATTAGGCACCTGATTGCGAAAGTTTGATTGCATTTTGATCGCCGGGATTTTACAAACGTATTGTTTAAGTAGCGATCGTGTTCTTGGGATCTTGATAACTTCCTATTTTAAGTTTTGGGTTGAAAGCAATGAGTATGTCGGACTTTCTCAACTCCACATAATGAAACAATATCCCTTTATATTAGTCCAATCGGAATTTGCATAAACATACCAGTTTTATATTGCAAAAAGAACTGTAATTAATAGCCTACATAAAAGCATCATGATAAATAAAACATTAAAGCATATATAAAGCCTATTGTTATCGCACCCATCGCACCCCCCCCCCCCCCCCCCCCCTCCTGGCTACGCCTATGGATATTTTGGCAACTTTCACGTTTACCCCGCCCCCTAATAATTCTTGCGCCCCCTCTAAATATCAGACCCGTCAAGCGTTGAGGCATGGATCAGGATACCCTGACTCCCAAGCTGTGCGACTTCTGGCAACCGCTACACCTATATTCCCGCGGAAAACGCTTTTAGAAAAATTGTCAAATATGGTCGTGTGTGGGCAAACACGGAGGAGGAGGAGAGGGGTGCGTGCATTGTGTGCGACCCTTCATCAGTTGTGTACCTTATTTTTTGTATGAATTTCTTCCGAATAGTTATGCTAGAGGGGTTCTGATATTTATTTCTGTTTTCAAATGAAATAATTTCACCCTTGCCCGACTGACTTGTAGATAATGCACGAATCAAATAGCATGGAGATCAGATAATCAGATTGATTCGTATTTTCGCAATCAGATGAATTAACTTATTGTTTTCTCTGATTAAAAGGCGCTTTGAAGCTACTTTTACAGGATTTGTAAATTCGCAATCAGACTACCTTATTTTAATATTTAGTCAGTGCAAGAGGAGGGGACTATAATGTAGAAAATTGTTTTGATTTCGACACTAACTGAATAATTTATCACAATTGTTAAATAAGCAAACAGAAACAGGTTTAAAAATGAGATTAGAGGCAAAAAAGTCTATACATAAAATGTAATTAAAACCCGGGAATTAAAAGCAATTTTAGACTGTTTGATGATCTCTTCTGTAATCAAGGTGATGTTGGTACACTTCCGCCGTTAGAAAAACAAAGACTAAGACAAAGACTATATATATAGCAATTAATCCTTTTGTAATCATTAAATGTTAGATTCTTATTATTTTGTTGGACAACGTTCAGACTTCTGACCAAGATTAAATCATTTATGTTTGTATTTAAAAATAGTATTTCAATCAGACAGACGTTCTAATGAGTTAGAAAAATACATTTGTCCATTTCCTCTCAAGAAGTTTTCAAAGGTAATCAAGTCCATTTGTTTGAGTGTTTAGCATTGTTTTTCATAACTTGACGCTTCCATGAACAGAATGACTTTGAAATGAGTTTTTATAATTTTAGCTTTTATACGGACATGCTTATTGTATATTTCTATATGAACGTTGTAGTTATGTGATGTAACATCGCCCCCCCCCCCAAATTACAGGTATACAAATTTTGGTCGGAATGCATTAAAAGCAATTTTAGACTGTTAGATGATCTCTTATGTAATCTAGGTGATGTTGGTACACTTCCGCATTTAAGAAAACAAAGACTAAAACAAAGAGAACTAAGCAATTAATCCTTTTGTTATCATTAAATGTTAGATTCTTATTTTTTATTGGACAATATTAAGACTTCTGTCTGCGATTGTTGTGCAGGTATGTGTATAAAATCATGTGAACAACATTATCGTGGAATCTCCCATATTCATTCTCATAATGTCTTACAGCTATTTCGCAAATGACATAATCCTAAACAACATATGGACATAATATTGCAGAACTGAGCGAAAAGAAAGGTGGAACAAATCAGATTAAGATATTTTATTTTTGAAATGCACAAAGGGCAACAAAACTTAAAGGCGTTGTAAAATAGATCGTGCTTTTATATGATCCCCTTCTATAGTACCCTACCCTTTGCATTTGTTCGACTTCACTTCTTAAATGAGAGTTTCGTCTTCTCGTAGTTTATAATTAGACTCTGCACGCAGCGTAATAGTGCCCCTATTATCCATGTTCATGTTCTCATTTGATTTTTCATCAGTTATGACTTGATAACATTTGCTCCGATTTTCATTACGGCGCCCGGCCGATTGAGTATCTTGTTGAATTGAATACAATTTTGGACAAAATACTCATCGGCCGGGCGCCGGTGCTGAAAATCTGAGCAAATGTGACCACGGCATTATAAAAGCATACTCTTTAATACACGAACAGATTCAAAATGAGACTTTATCTATTAGAGAAATAAAAATGGAAAATTTGTATTCTGAAAATATTAACTGATGCATTGGTTAGTATTAAATATTAAGTTTTACAGTCGGAAACCTCAAGGGGCGGGAAATTTGATTAAACAAAACGCTGGATTAATATGTGGACAACTTGCAAATGAAATGAAAGTAACATGACAGAACGAGTATGTACGCCCAATAAATACTTTTATAGTTTTAATGTGCATTCAAAGGACCCTGTTTGTTAAATTGATAGAAATGAATAGTTTTATTATCGGAAAAAACTGAGAAATATCTACCCGATTCGCCAGAATAGTCATCATCATATCAGTGCGAAAAATTAGCTATATTTATTTTCTATCCGATATACACCTGATATTGATAGCCTTCCACGATCATGGTCCGTTGACATCATCAACCTTGTGATTTGCCATAAGTGATTAACCAACATTTTTTAATTAAAAGTCGGGGTTGACGTTTCTTGACTTTTCACACTTACATCAAAACATAATTTGAAAATAAAAGGCATAAAATGGCCATTAAAAGTACATTTTTGAACAAAAGTATCAACTTATATTACACTGCACGCAAATACAAAGTGAAAAGAACGTCTTCCCGGAGATTGAAATACGGATCGGTAAGTCAACAAATCTAACTGTTAAATAAACAAGCTTAGCCTATGTCTGCGATTGTTTGTCTGAGTGGCCAGATGTTATCCGTTTCGGATAATAAATTTCTGAGAATACTACTGATATCTAGAATACATCTTTCGTGATATTTTTCATAAAACTACCCTTTGCATTCGTTTGACTTCACTTCTTTTAAAAGAGAGCTTCGTTATAGTGTATACGTAGTTTAACTAGACTCTGCACGCAGGGTATCATAAAACAGGCATCTTAGCTGCAATTTTGAATAATAGCGTAATTCATAGTACAATATAAATTAACCCGCCTCTGTTTAATTCAAATATGCATTACCCTTAAGATTTATATACTTAGACACCTTTTCATTCTTGATTCGGATTTTTATCTTGTCTTCATCTAAATCTGTGGATTAATAACAGTTTTTAGTATACAAATTGAACATACAAAATGTAGCGTATTGATTACACGTTACAGTGGCGAAGCCAGCTTTCAGTCGGGGGGGGGGGGGGGGAAGGGGTGCGATCGTGGCATTAAAAATGTTTTTGAAGATTTGTTTTGAATTTTACAAAAATTGGTGCAACTTCGTTCAAAATCGAGCTAGAAGCTTCAAAAAAAGCATTTTAAGACTTTTCTCTTCTATCTAATGGTTCTATTTTCATTGGTTATGGAGGGGGGGGTGCGACCGCATCCCATCGCATCCCCCTGGCTACGCCTATGCGCTATATTAATATAACAAGGTTATCAATATCATGCCAATAGTTACCCTGCGTGCAGAGTCTACATGTAGTTAAACTACAAGACGAAGACGAAGCTCTATTTTAAGAAGTGATGTCAAACGAATGCAAATGGTAGCCAATAGTTAGATGGTTAACTAATATTAACACAAAATAATAATACACGATAATCAAAAAAATAAACCTCGGTATTCGGGCCTAAAATCCAAGGATACGTGTACCATTACTTAAGTGTAAGCTGCAATACCATATCGGATACCTGTACCATTACTCAATAATAACCACTAGTAAGACCATAATAACAAGCTTAATAACCATCGTATTACAATTTATTCCATACGATTTTGTCTTGTGTATGTGGCATGTTTCCAAGTATTTAAAAAATCAAGTATCAACAAAATCTCTCTATTAAGTTGTTTTCCATAACAAGCAATTTGGATACTCCCCAGACAGTCAACAATATGTCTTCCATTTTAATTTCAGAAATCTTTGAATTGAATCCACAGTACAAAATTAAGGACTGGAATATGCCAACTAAATTGTCCAAATTCAAATCAGCTGAGTTGTCAACAATGAAGATCCTCAAAGAAAGACGCCTCCAGTTGGAGAAAATGTGTGCCAAACACCCAAATATTTCAAAGAATAATATTAAAGGTAGTTCCATTATGGTTGGAAAACAATATCCTTTTGTATATTGTGACATCCCAAAGGTGGGCAGTAGCACTTTCAAAAGAGTTCTATATAGCCTTGAAAAAAACATATCCAATCCTTACAAAATGCAGGCAATAGCAGTACATGGTAATGGCGATGTGGGAACATATATTGTTAAACAAGATGACATAGATGTAAAAATGTTGAAAAAAATAGAAAATTACACTAGAATTATAATTGTACGAGATCCAATTGATCGGCTTATATCTGCATATTGGGACAAAATGTACAGCCTTAACCCAACATTCTGGTGTAGGAAGAGCATTGCGAGTACGATATTCAACCTCTACAGAAGTGAAAAAGTGTCAATGGATAACATATCAACAGTTAAATCCTTTAATGAAAGCGATGAGATATCAACTAAAAAAAACACGACGATACCTCAATGCATATGTGATATATCATTTAAAGAATTTCTAGGATTTATCATAGAACAGGATAACAAACACAAAAACTTTGACAAACACTGGCGCCCCCTATACAAGAATTGTAACCCATGTAAGGATCTGAAATATGATGTCATAGCACATTTAGAAACTTTCAATGAAGATACATATTATTTCTTAAGGAAAATAGGTGCAACTAATCTACAGCATGATGAACACACTAGTGACATCATAACACGAGAGGTTGACATCCTACTCCGGGGTTACTCAGAAATTCAAAAGAAAAATGGGACGTGTCAATTCAGTATGCAGGATTTAATAGTCAGGACCTTCCACAGGCCTTGTTGCTAGGGGCTATATAAGTCAAAGTGCAGTGCTACCAACTCTGAATCCTGACCCAGATTTCTACACCAGAGAACGACTATATGCACTTTTCCTAAAACTTTATCAAACTTCAAATGGATATAGAATTAGCAAAGCAGAACTTAGGAAAAACATGTTAAAACAACTGCCTAGTGATATGATCAAGAAAATCTATGACATATACAAATATGATTTTGAACTGTTTGGTTATGAATATGAAACACAATAAAATATAACAGAATCATTCCAGTGTTTGTAACTTACAAATAATATGATACTTGGTATTTACATGTACATTTTGTACATGTTTGTTAAAAACTAAAACTATAAAAATATATAAATGGAATTCTCAATTATTTTGTTTTATCTCTTTTTATTATTATATTTTGGGTACTAGTGTCATCAAGGTTAATCAACATACATGTAAATGTATTACTAACAACAGTATTCAACAGAGTCCTTATCATCTGCATGTCCGTTTACTATTTTAACTTGTTAAACCTGTGCCTTTCTTTAGATAGCAATTGTGGGTTGTTTTGGGTATAATGAACAAATGGGGGAAATGTTGTGTCAATACACACGATAAATGTATCATTATGAGTTTTTTTTCTTCGGTTGTTCAAAAATTTCTAAATTTAGAATATTAATTAGAACATTGAAAATCTAAAAGTTGGTTTTAAATAAATTCACAAATTTTGGAACAAAAAGTCTTTTAAAAACCACTTTTTGAAATTTGAAAAAAAAAGTTTCACATATCAAAATTTTATAACATTGGGTAAGACTACAATATAAGCCAAAGTGGTTTAAACTTTATATGGGGCCTTTAAAGGAATTAGTAATTTCTTCAGGGGTTTGAAAGATATCCAATGTGGGTGACCAAAATTAAGCTGAAAGCAATGGAGGAGTGAAAATAACATGAGAAATATTGTTTTACACTTTATCTAAAAGGAATTACTTCTAAGGGGGTTAACTGTGTGTCAAAACGCAAGATATTAAATATCGATGCAACAAATATTGAAAAAGCAGGGATGGAGTGTCAGTCAAAATGATGTCATTTTTGAAATCTACATGTAAAATTACATCTACAAATATGGTTTCGAAAATTGTTTGAAAATCAGATAACATTTTCTTTTACTGGACATATTTTAATTTGCATAACTATTAGATACGTTGGTTATATGGAAATTGAACCACTAAAACAGATGTAATTTAAGCTAAAGGGAACTTTCTACTATGCCCGCTGTGCGCCAGATCAAATTAATATTTTTCTAAAAATAGATTTTAGCAAAAAATGAGGCCATTTAGAATTTGTATAGAAACTGTAAACTACACATATAAAGCTTACTTATTGAAATATCATATGCTAAAAACAATCAGGCAGAGGTCATTTCACATTGACTTTATCCTGCTTAGCCTTGAGTTTTATTCTGGAATCGGGCCTTTTATACTAAATGGAACACCACGAATGAGCGTTCGATTTGCTAAACGATATGCATTTCTCTTTAAGCTGCCATATTGGAAAGCCCCCTTAAACAGATTCTTTTCCCATAACATCAGCCTGTAGTATTTGAGTTAAATTACACTGGTTGATTTCAGTTACGGCCAAAACACAAACAGACCAATAGACAGACAGCTTCTCTATACTCCTTTAAAAACTTTGCTTATTGGTAAATACCAAAAAGCTGAATATATTGGAAATACATCAGCTAGGTGTGTATTGCATGTCAGACTGGATCTAATAGACACAATAACAAATTGAAAATGTGTGGAACAAGTTTACACAAAGTGGCATTGACGGTGTGTCTCTTCATAGGAACCACGCTGATTATTGGTAAGTACAATATGTATAATAATAAAAAGGAATAATTATCATAATCTAAATTAAATAAACCAAAATATTACAACATTGAAAAGTATGTATATAAATTTGTAATATAAAATATTTAAGGTAATATTTAGATGGTTAAATATGTTTTTATCATCCATTAATTATTTTTGAAAATTGTTGTCAACTTTTTATTTCTCAAATATTCAAACCATGCCATTTTTTCAAATAAAATCATCGAATATTCCACAATACAGCGCAAAATGCATTACCTTTTTAAAATAATTCGAAGATTCAACAAACGATGCATTATTTGCCACTTTAATGTTTTAAAAATATTTTTCAACATAAGTGACTTCATATTGATGTCACTCAAGTGGCAAACATTTTTTGAAAAAATTTCAACGTCAATCTGACCTATAAAATCTAGTTTTAAATATATTCACAATTTTTTGAACAAAAAGAGCTTCAAAAACCACTTTTTGAAACTAAAAAAAGTTTTACACATCACATTTTTGATAGCAATGGATAAGACTAGAACTTTATATGGGTATGATTAAAACTTTATATGGGGGTTTTAACAGAAAGTTTCAATTTTAAGATATTTTTGGCTCATATCATTCTTTGTCATGTCTATTCTCTAAAAATCCCCAAATGCATACCTTATTTCAGTAATATGTTGAAAAGTTTTAAAATATTATCATTTATTTTATTCATCTTAAATAAAACAAAATATATAAAAATTGCCAGGATAGCTAGCATATTATACTTTAAATGTTATGTGGCATGTTTCCAAGTATTTAAAAAATCAAGTATCATTAAGTATCAACATAATCTCTCTATTCAGTTGTTTTCCATAACAAGCAATTTGGATACTGCCCAGACAGTCAACAATATGTCTTCCATTTTAATTTCAGAAATCTTTGAATTGAATCCACAGTACAAAATTAAGGACTGGAATATGCCAACTAAATTGCCCAAAGTCAAGTCAGCTGAGTTGTCAACAATGAAGATCCTCAAAGAAAGACGCCTCCAGTTGGAGAAAATGTGTGCCAAACACCCAAATATTTCAAAGAACAATATCCAAGGTCGTTCCATTATGGTTGGAAAACAATATCCTTTTGTATATTGTAACATTCCAAAGGTGGGCAGTAGCACTTTCAAAAGAATTCTATATAGCCTTGAAAAAAACATATCCAATCCTTACAAAATACAGGCAATAGAAGCACATAGCATTGGCGATGTGAGAACATATATTGTTAAACAAGATGACATAGATGTAAAAATGTTGAAAAAAATAGAAAATTACACTAGAATTATAATTGTACGAGATCCAATTAATCCGCTTATATCTGCATATTGGGACAAAATGTACAGCTTTAACCCATCATACTGGTGTAGGAAAAACATAGTGGGTACAATATTCAACCTCTACAGAAGTGATAAAGTGTCAATGGATAACATATCAACAGTTAAATCCTTTAATGAAAGCGATGAGATATCAACTAAAAAAAACACGACGATACCTCAATGTATATGTGATATATCATTTAAAGAATTTCTAGGATTTATCATACAACAGGATAACAAACACAAAAGCTTTGAAAAACACTGGCGCCCCCTATACAAGAATTGTAACCTATGTAAGGATCTGAAATATGATGTCATAGCACATTTAGAAACTTTCAATGAAGACACTAATTATTTCTTAAGGAAAATAGGTGCAACTAATCTACAGCATGATGAACACACTAGTGACATCATAACACGAGAGGTTGACATTCTACTCAGGGGTTACTCAGAAATTCAAAAGAAAAATGGGACGTGTCAATTCAGTATGCAGGATTTAATAGTCAGGACCTTCCAAGGCCTTGTTGCTAGGGGCTATATAAGTCAAAGTGCAGTGCTACCAACTCTGAATCCTGACCCAGATTTCTACACCAGAGAACGACTATATGCACTTTTCCTAAAACTTTATCAAACTTCAAATGGATATAGAATTAGCAAAGCAGAACTTAGGAAAAACATGTTAAAACAACTGCCTAGTGATATGATCAAGAAAATCTATGACATATACAAATATGATTTTGAACTGTTTGGTTATGAATATGAAACACAATAAAATATAACAGAATCTTTCCAGTGTTTGTAACTTGCAAATAATATGATACTTGGTATTTACATGCACATTTTGTACATGTTTGTAAAAAAACTAAAAATATATAAATGGAATTCTCAATTATTTTGTTTTATCTCTTTATATTTATATATTTTTGGTACTAGCGTTATCAAGGTTAATCAACATACATGTATTACTAACAACAGTATTCAACAGAGTCCTTACCATCTGCATTCTGCATGTCCGTTTACTATTTTTGTTAAACCTGTGCCTTTCTTTAGATAGCAATTGTGGGTTGTTTTGGGTACCTGATAATGATATTTTGAGAAAATATACAATAATGAACAAATGGGGCAAATGTTGTGTATAAATACACATGATAAATGTATCATTATGAGGATTTTTTCTTTGGTTGTTCAAAAATTTCTAAATTTAGAATATCAATTAGAACATTGAAAATAATAAACATTAAATTCACACAAAGTCAGAAAAAACTCAGTGGCCTAGAGTCACAATTGTCGCCTGGTACGCAGTAGACTGTGGTCAGAATTGAGTGTACCTTTTTAAATAAATTCTTACCAGCTAATAAAATGGTTGTGCTTTGAAATGATGCAGAAAAAAACAGTTTATAACCACATCAACTTAATATCATTTAGCATTTGTCTTGACAGTTGTAAATGGAAAAGATAATATATGCAAAAATATTGCATTTTAAAGGAAGGTCAGAATTTAAAATAGTATACCAATAAGTATTTCTCTTTAACATGTTACAAGAGTGGCTAGCCTACATCACTAAGCCAAAAAGTCATTTTGATCAAGGCGTGTATAATTTTTGTATCATATACATATATTCCAATGAAACAAAACAACATTAAAAACATCAAATACTAGTTATAAGTATATTAGTGGTTTCAAGCATAAATCAACCTATTGTTTATTTGTTAATATGAACAGTGAAAAAGTTTACTACCTGAAACTGGATATTATAACCTGTTTTACCTGTCATCACAAATTGCCCTAACACTCTCTCATTAATAATATTAACAGCAGTAACATTTGAATGAATAGCAGAATTTGTTCTGCTACTAATATACGTAATAATAACGCCATCTATTCGATGTATCATACACATCTTAAAACAACACCCCAGTTATGTGACATTCAGGTCTCATCATGGGCTTTTTGAGGGTTCTGAGCCAATGGTCACATCTACCAAATGTGTCTCCCCTAATATAAAGTATTGCTAAACCCATACAATTCGGGTTTCAACAACATACAAAGACACAAAGTACAAATTGTCACCACCAATGGGTGATCGGCTCCTACATAGATTTTTCATCCTGAATGCCCAACACTATAATCAGGTGAAGAGACAAAATTATAGGACAAAATGTCCAAAATGGCCACCTTAATATTCACCAACAAGAATGCCAAAAAGCTAGTCAGTTTGGGATTTCATATAAAGAATCATGCCTGAAAATTTAAAATCGATCTGTCATATGGTTCGCCTGGAAACACATACATATGTAGACAAGACTTAACAGACAAGATTTTAGGACAGAAAATCCAAAATGGCCACCTTTACATTTACCCTGAATTTCTAAAGACTAGCTCAGTTCAAGATTTTCATAAAAAGATTCATCCCTGAAAATTTGAAATTGTTTATCGTCTTTGAAAATTTAATTTTTGAGAAAATGTGATTTCTAGTTCAGGGAGATTCCCCATAGGCCCAATGTTATAAAATCACAAAAAGTGAAATATCTTGTATTGGACAGATAATATTCTCTTTTACTGGACATATTTCAATTTGCAAAACTATTAGATACATAAGAGTGATATAAAAATTGAACCACTAAAACTGATAATATTTAAGTTAAAGGGAACGTTCTACTATACCCGCCATGCTATCTGACCCGAATGAGCCACCTGGTGGTGAAACTGGTAACTTTTTTACCTACCCACATCTGAGCACTGCATCTGAGTTATCATTTAGAATAAAAAAATAATGTCAAAAATAATCTTCATTTCATACTTTGGAAAGATAATGAGTTGAAATGCATTTAATGGTGCATCACTAATATATAACCGAAAAATGGTGTTTAATTTAAAGAGATCGAGTCGTCCAGATTTCTATTCTGGACAATCAGTAATGTCCCAATATAATTGCTCATAAAACATCATATATACCTTAGATATATCTTGAGACCAAATCATAAGCACGATATCGACAATATATTGAGGATATCAACAGGACAACCAAAAGAACAACCAACTGTCAGAATTGAACGCAATAAGTTGAAAACAGAACACAATGTTTTTTGGAGATTTATCTATATTGTAACCCCTTAGAAGTAATAAATATGGCTTCTCTAAGCCAAAATAATCTGAAAGAAAAAGCCAATTAGACTGGAACTTTGAGCTGGCTTTTTAGATTTTAATTTCTATTGATGTAAGTGGAAATTCATGGCAAGGAACAATCATTGAATTGATACTGTTAACGAATTAATTCAAGCCTCAGAATTGATAAGTTGATAAACAAACTTGTTTTACATCAAATAACACGAAAAAATCAGGGGGTTACTCTAATTGTGTTTTTAGGAGACATGATCTCTTTAACTTGTGCATGGGGTGTCCCGTTTTGCCTAAAATTATCTCCTTTTGCCCCAGTAAAAGAAAAATACCAGCACATAAAATGAAATCAGATCCTGCCTGGCTGGTGGGTACACTGTAGGTAGGTGGAAATCCACCTAGGTAGGGGCAGCAGTTTAACAAACCTGTCTATGCACAGTCTAAATATAAATAAAGAAGAATTGTTTCTTTTCAAAATAAATAGAGTATTCATTCCAAAACGTATTGGCTACATGTAGAGACTCATGTAACCCTGGCATACCCTAGAACAGTACAGATGCTCAGTGAACAGAATTTTCTTCATATCATTATCTAAAATTACAAGTGCAGAATCTTTTTCATCAAAAATATTGATGTTTTTCAAATGGATATTTCACATCTTTATGATCCTAAAGTTACCTTCTTCTAAGGCCACTGTATCGTGGCCTTCCAGTACAGATATATTCCTGCATGAACAAATGGTCATGTCGTAATCATAAAATTTGAAATCATATGTCCGCCATTTTTCCACATCACAATTTGAATTGCGAGTTTTAGTCTTATTACCTCACCAAAAATTCCAAAACACACATAAAGTGATCAGTGTATTAGTTCACATCTTCTGGATCGCTAACTTAGAATTTACAGCCAGTTACTAATGTCAGACGTTAACGACATTTCGTCCAGTTTTCGAACATCGCCATTTTTCTTGGAGCCATTTTGTTTTAATTTTAGACGAAATCCTGATGAAATCATGTCATATCTCATCAAGGATTTGAGCTTGGTCCGGTTTGATTAATGATTTATTTATCTGGCGATTTTTAAAATATTCAATAAATTTATGACACCACGGCAAGCTTTTTCAAATAGAGTTCACAGTATTCCAGATGCAATCCCCTCTAGCCAAGTATTGGCTAGAGACTCGAGTAATCCTAAAGTATCTAGAAAATCAAATTTCATACCTCAATCCTGCTATTTTGGCAAGATATTACTGCAAACGTAAAATGATCCGCGCTCCGCCTCATGACCAATCAGATTGCAGGACACATGTGCTGTAAACATGTAGAAATGAAATTCAACATGGATCTACCCTGCCCACAGAGTCTAGTTATAAACTACAGTCTGCCTAGTATAGACTATATTACAGTTTGGCAACCCTGCCCTGAAGATTGGTGCCTGTGACAGCATGGGTAATTTCCAATCTACCGTGCTGACCTTTTCTCAACCAATCAGCAAAATGGAAGGAACACGTGCTAAATACATGCTCATTACAAGTAACTATGCTGGGATCCCGGGAGGTTCACTGTATATAAACATTGATGGGATCCTCGGCGCACATGGGGTTCCTTTTTTGACATTTGGTATGGCAATGGACCCAAATTTGAGGATCTGGTATGAGAATGTACGCCATATTATGACTTTTGAGGTATGGCAACAGGCCCGTAGCCAGGGGGGGGGGGGGCTCTGGGGGTTCAGGAGGAACCCCTAGGATGGGCCTAGAAAAAAATGTTGGCCCAAAAATATTGTAGGGCCTCATTAGTGGGCATTTTTGGGCATTACTTGACCGTTTTGAGCCTTATTTTTTCAATTAAAGGCCAAATTTTCAAAAACGGGCTTTAAATTTTCCAAATTTTGGCCCGAATTTTGGTTCTAGGGCCCTAAAAGGTTTTCCACGCAGCCATAGGATGGTCCCAGAAAAAAATATTGGCCCAAAAATATTGTAGGGCCTCTCTAGTGGGCCTCTTTGGGGCATAAATTGACCTTTTTGGCCTTTATTTTTTTTCAATTTAAGGACAAATTTAGAAAAAACAGGCCATAAATTTTCAGAATTTTCGCCCGAATTTTGATATTAGGGCCCTAAAAATTTTACGTGCGGCCCTAGAAAAAAAATGTTGGGCCAAAAATATTGTTGGGCCTCTTTAGTTGGCCTTTCTCTTGACCTTTTTAATTGACCTTTTTGGGCCTTATTTTTCAATTTTAGGCCAAATTCTCGAAAAACGGGCCATAAATTTTCAAAGTTTTGGTTCTGGGGCCCTAAAAGGTTTTCCACGCGGCTATAGGATGGGCCCAGAAAAAAATGTTGGCCCAAAAATATTGTAGGGCCTCTTTAGTGGGCCATTTTGGGCATTACTTGATCTAATTGACCTTTTTGGGCCTTATTTTTTCAGTTTTAGGCCAAAGGAGCACGTAGGTTATCGCAAACAATTTCAAACGATTCTAACTTGAATTATGAATATTTTCTGATCATGAACATGGGTGCATCTTTTAGATCCATTCATTATCTTCAAGAAAAGTATATATAATGATAATTTATTAATCAGACCTAAGTGATATTGAAGGGGCAATGGACCAATCAACATACTTTTTCAAAACTGTTGACCTAATTTTCACCAAAAATGCAACCTTTTATTACATTGTTGAATGCATAATTAGAATGTGTTTTGAGACACGTTCTATTTCCTAAAAGGAAAAGTTGATTGCTTCAGGGACTTTAAAGAAACTGAATTTGGATGACCAAAATGAACTGAAACCAATGGATAGCATGAGATTTTCAATGGAGAAATAACATGGGGGAACACTTATCTTAAAGCAATTAAGTTTTTCTTTCAAGAAATATTTGATACATTAAAATAAAAATAGTAATGCATTAAACAATATAAAAAATGATTGCATTTTTGGTGAAAATGAGGTCAACATCTTCAAAAAGTGTGTTGATGGGTTGATTGCTAGTTAAATATCTCCGAGTTTGTTTGACTTTATTATTACTGTATATAATTTTCTTTTGAGATAATGAATGGATCTAAAATATAAACCTGACTTCATTGTCAGGAAATATTCATAATCCAAGATATAACCGTCTGAAATTGTTTGCGATAATTTACGTGCTTCTTTTCAAAAAACGTACGTGAAGATTTTTTTATTTTTGGCCTAAATTTTGGTTCTTTACAATACAAAGGGGCTTGGTTTAGCATGGGGAATTTTTTTTTGGGGGGGGGTTGCAGGGGGGGGTTCGAGCACCCCCTTACAAAAAGCTGGCTACGGGCATGGGTAATGGTCGGATTTTTTCACTTTCATGTATGAGAATCTCACTTGTAGTATGGCATTGGTAGAGTAGTTACACATATCCTTAATTTGAGGTTGTTTTGGATCATTTTCCTCAAAGATCTGGCTTCTTCCCGGGGCTTTAGACATTTTAATTGTCCTTGGTCTTATATTTTTGGATGTATTTGGATGTATTTGGCATGGCATTGGTCTTATATTTGGACATTTGATATGGCTTTTGAGCGTTATTTTGGTTGGTATGGGAACACATTGAAATTTGACACATTGGTACGGAAACATATTGATATCTGAGGGTTCAGCCTAAGACCACCCCCCAGAATTTTGTATACATGTACGGTGAACCCCCTGGGGCTGGTATGTCAGAGGAAATGACCATAGAAAGTTGTCCGTAGTTCGACGACAAACTCTGACATGGGCATTCAATAAGAAACAATGGAAGAAGGCATAACACTTACTATAACACCAACCGGAACAAACCGTATCTTAACTTTCTACATGTAGATCTAGGCCTAATAACAAATCAAATTTCAATCGAAAAAAATTCCTTGCTGGGTGTAAATTGATCACCTTATCAACTTAACAGTAGTCAAACTGTATCTTACGAGTCAAGGTTTTGGAGTTAATCCATTGCAAAGATATCAGACTATTATATTTGAATTCTAAATGAACAGATTAACGACGAAATATACTCACAAAATTCATGTTGTCAATTTTTGGAAATTTTGAAAATGACGTCATTTTGGCGGGTAAGTAGCTACGCAATCCGGCAGCAGTGTACTCTGACAACAAAAATTGAATGAATTGGGGAGCCTGTTTTAAGTCGATTTATAACAGAATGAGCAAATATTCAAGCAAGTACACCGATGATATCGATTCAGAAATAGATGAGAAATTTAGAAATATAACATTGAAACAAAACAATTGTGAAACAAGTATGCCTATGACGAATGGAAAATCTTCGATTTCAAATGATCTTGAACATCACCATGGAAAACATGAAAATCCTAAAAAATCAGATCACGGTGATGAAAAGGAAGATGACTTAGAAACTGTGGATAAAATGGCTGACTCTTATAGAAATATCCTTGCATTGGTCGGAGAAGACCCGAGTAGACAAGGCCTACTAAAAACGCCCGAAAGAGCTGCTAAAGCATTAATGTTTTTCTGTAAAGGTTATAACGAAAAAATAGGTGGTAAGTAAAGATATTTAAGAGTTGATTACAGTCTAATATGTGAATTATAAGTCTATCATACCTAAAATATATTCGATCAAAGGGCCACAATTTATCCCGTGCCAGGACTATAGTCCTGTAACAAGCGCATTATTTTGCCTGTACGATTACAACTTGGGAGAATTATCTACGCCCCTTACACTTAAGATACCTACATGTACTTCAATAGATTCCTGGGTATTTTAGCATTTTTTTCGTGTAGTTGAATCCACAATTGTTTGAGTATATCGGCAGAATGGGAACATTTTTCTTTTTCATCAAAAGATATTCCATCACTTTCCAAGAGGATAACAACTGAATAAACATAAAAACGAATTTGACTGAATTCATAAGTCCTAGGTAGTATATTTTATGCTCATGTCCCATATCTAACTCTAAAAACTACACATACATACAATTCAGTCTGTTTTTGATATAAAGAATACTCCCACATATGAAGCTGTGCAGATATAGACCCACACGTCATATAAGATTAATCCTTGTGAAAACCCAAATTGATTTTTACAATTGATTGTGTAAACACATTTTGAAGATTTGGGCACACGTATATTTAAACGTTAATTGCCCTTTTTTCTGCCACTTAACTTTCGATGTATGACGTAAAATGTTAATTGCTTGATTTTATTGCTTGAGTGATTGACGGGATATCGATGATTCTTTTTTAGGATGGTGATTTCTACTAGCTATTATACAAATCTGGAAATTTTACGCATGCATATATTGAAATGTTAAATGCCATTTTTTTACGTATGATGTACGATGTACAGCATAAGTTGCTTGATTTATTGTCTGAGTGATTGACACAACATGGATGACTGTTTGTTTTGCTGGTTGGTTGGTTTATTGGTCGATTAGTCGGTTGCTTAGTTGGTAGATTGTTTGGTTGGATGGCTGGTACGTTGAGTTGGAGGTCAATTTGGTCGTTGGTTACTTGGTTTGTACATTGGCGCATTTTAGGGCATAAAATGAAAAAATCGAATTTCTAACCCTTTTAGGAATGTTAGGTTAATGGCCTTAATTTCAAAAGGTACATCATAAATATTATTTTGGCATTATGACCAGTTATGTATTTTTTAGGGCATAAAACACTGCCCCCAGGATTCCGTGTTTGCAGAGCGCGGACGGAATTTGCCTCTGCCCGCGGAATTGCAGAATCAACTATTTTGGTCAATTTCCGCGGAATTTTCCGCAGAATCCATATATTTTCCAAAAGTTTAAAAAGTCAGTCTTACCTGTAACAATTTGACACGTTTTCAGTCAAATCCCTTGCAGAAATAACCCAAATTATGCGAAGTGAAAATTCTAAACGCCATCATTTGATTTCTGCCGTTAGATGGCAGCATGTATGTAGTGACTGACTACCTGACTATCACGATATTTTCCCGTTTACTGGTTCGAAAACCATTAGTTTTTCTTTCGGTTCTCGTCAGAAAGTTAAACAAAGACATAAATTAATAACAGTTATTTATATTATATAAAAAAATGCCGCGAATATCCACGGAATTTCTGCAGAATTAGCCCTTTCTTCTTGCAGAATTCACTAATTTCACTTGCAGAATTGAGCATTTTAACTTGCAGAAAACTGGGGGGAGTGATAAAATGAAAAAATCGAATTTCTAACCCTTTTAGGAATGTTAGGTTAATGGCCTTAATTTCAAAAGGTACATCATAAATATTATTTTGGCATTATGAACAGTTATGTATTTTTTATAAGCTTTTCATTCAGACTTTTTTCTTTTCATTTCATATTGATATTGAAGTTTTTGTATCGTCATGGACTTTGTATTTTAGTAAAAACCTTTTCAAAGTGTGATACAATACTATAAATGGGCATCATTTATTATTATGTCACCACCAAAAGTGGTGACATATTGTTATGGTCTCCGTTTTTTTTATGTCACCACCAAAAGTGGTGACATATTGTTATGGTCTCCGTTTTTTTTGCGACGGCGGTTGGCGTCCGGCGGTTGGTGGTTGGCGTCCGGCGGTTGGCGTCCGGCGGTTGGCGTCCGGCGGTTGGCGTCCGGCGTCTGTAACAATTTCTTACAACTTCCTATAACTTAACAAATACTGTTTAGACTGACTTCAATTTTTTTCTAAATCATCTACACGTTCTCAGAAGTTCAAATCTGACTTTAGATTTGACATTTGACCTTCAATGACCTTCTCAAGGTCAAAAAGGTCTTTTTTCAACTTGCTTCACATTGACTAAATTATTTTTCAAAATCATCTACATGTTCTCAGAAATTCAAATCTGACTTTAGATTTGACATTTGACCTTCAAATCTGACTTCAGATTTGACATTTGACCTTCAATGACCTTCTCAAGGTCAAAAAGGTCTTTTTTCAACTTGCTTCACATTGACTAAATTTTTTTTCAAAATCATCTACATGTTCTCAGAAATTCAAATCTGACTTTAGATTTGACATTTGACCTTCAAATCTGACTTCAGATTTGACATTTGACCTTCAATGACCTTCTCAAGGTCAAAAAAGGTCAAAAAGGTCTGTTTTCAACTTGCTTCAAATTGACTAAAAATTTTTTTCAAAATCATCTACGTGTTCTCAGAAATTCAAATCTGACTTAAGATTTGACATTTGACCTTCTCAAGGTCAAAAAAGGTCAAAAAGGTCTGTTTTCAACTTGCTTCAAATTGACTAATATTTTTTTTTTAAAAAATCATCTACGTGTTCTCAGAAATTCAAATCTGACTTTAGATTTGACTTAAGATTTGACATTTGACCTTCAATGACCTTCTCAAAGTCAAAAAAGGTCAAAAAGGTCTTTTTTCATCTTGTTTCAAATTGACTAAATTTTTTTTCAAAATCATCTACATGTTCTCAGAAATTCAAATATGACTTTAGATTTGACATTTGACCTTCAATGACCTTCTCAAGGTCAAAAAAGGTCAAAAAGGTCTTTTTTCAACTTGCTTCAAATTGACTAATTTTTTTTTTCAAAATCATCTACATGTTCTCAGAAATTCAAATCTGACTTTAGATTTGACATTTGACCTTTAATGACCTTCTCAAGGTCAAAAAAGGTCAAAAAGGTCTGTTTTCAACTTGCTTCAAATTGACTAAAAAAAATTTTCAAAATCATCTACGTGTTCTCAGAAATTCAAATCTGACTTTAGATTTGACTTAAGATTTGACATTTGACCTTCAATGACCTTCTCAAAGTCAAAAAAGGTCAAAAAGGTCTTTTTTCAACTTGCTTCAAATTGACTAAAAAAAATTTTCAAAATCATCTACATGTTCTCAGAAATTCAAATATGACTTTAGATTTGACATTTGACCTTCAATGACCTTCTCAAGGTCAAAAAAGGTCAAAAAGGTCTGTTTTCAACTTGCTTCAAATTGACCAAATTTTTTTTTCAAAATCATCTACATCTTTTCAGAAGTTCAAATTTGACTTTACAAGTTCTCAGAAATTCAAATCTGACTTAAGTTTGAACTCATAATATTGTGAGCAACTAGGTGGTGACATTTTGTCATGTTAATGCCTTGTTAACTCCATCCATCAATATCCTAGATGCGAGTAGAAATAATCTTGATTTACGTCATTAAAAACAATTCATTCAAACTGATGTCATATTTGGAATCTACATCTAGAAATGTGGTTTTGAAAAGAGTTTATCAACTTTGAAAATTTAATTTTCTTTGAAAATGTGACTTCTAGGTCAGGTCATGTTGTAAAACCTCAAAAAGTGAAATATCTTTTCTTGTGTTGGGCAGATACATGTAATATTTTCTTTTACTGGACATATTTTAATTTGTATAACTATCACATACATAAGGGTAATATGAAAAGTGAACCACTAAAACTGATGAATATTCAGGTTTAAGGGAATTTTGTAATACTCTGTCATTTTATTTCCCCCGAATCAGCTACCTGGTGGCGAAACTGGTAACTACCTACTCGCATCTGAGTAATTGGGTGCTTATGTTAAAGTCCCCGTCTAAAGTTTGAAAATATTTTTTTATCATTCATTTACTATTTGTCAGGACTTAAAAAATGATTTTAGAGATTTTTGAACAAAAAAGAATTTTCGAAAAAAAGTTGTGAGCATTTCATTTCTCAAATATTCAAATTTCCCGCCATTTTTAAAAAAAAGTTGAAATTTCTTAATCATCAAATATTTCTTAATGCATTTGAACTTTTTAACACCAATGCAAAGGTTGAACAAAAGACACACTATTTCAATAATAAAATGTCATATTTAATGGGCCACTTCAATGTTTTAGCTTATCAAAAATATTTTGGAACATTAGTGATGTCACTAAGGTAACAAAAACTTTTTGAAAAAAATTGAATTTTTTTTTTCGATGTCAATCTTTTCTAAATATGCTAGACTTTCATAAAAAAACAATGTTGATTGTCTAACCAGGTTAAAAGGAAGAATAAATTATGATTTAGATATAATTGTACCATTGGTTTCTATGAGAACTAAAATTTTTAAATGCATTTTTCTCAGAAACATTTTCATGCACTGATAAGTTCATTTCTCACTTGTTTATCAACCGATTTTCTTAATTTTTTCGGCAAAAAACATGGGAGGATGCTATGCATTGGTATGAATTTTGGCTAATTAGAAGATATGAGTGACCTCTAAAAGTTGGTTTTAAATAAATTCACAAATTTTGGAACAAAAAGTCTATCAAAAACCACTTTTTGAAATTTAAAAAAAAAGTTTCACATATCACACTTTGATAACATTGGGTAAGAGTGCAATATAAGCCAAAGTGGTTTAAACTTTACATGGGGCCTTTAACAAAAAAGTGTGATATGCAGAATTTATACCTTTTTAAGCAAAAACCATCAATCTTTGCTGAGAAATTGCTATGGTTATATTTTACAGGTGTACATGTATTACTTCTTTAAATATAACTTTTATTAACAAATCAGGTCATATTAAAGCGAATAACATTTTATTGATAAATAAAATGAATCTATTGAT